GAGGTCGGGAGACGCGGAAGAAAGAGTCCTCTCACCTGGTCCGTCCAGCACGTCGTCATCGCGGCCGCCTTAGTCCGGATTGCAGACTCTGACCCGATACATCGCGCGGAGGCTCCGTGGGACGTTCGTGCCGCGGACGCTGCGATTGCCAGTGGATCGCCGACGCGGGCGGACGACGCTCGCGAGTATCATGGTGAAGAGGGCGACGGGCCGAGCGAGGCGAGGCGAGGCGAGGTGAGGGTTGCAACGCGGCGCCCGAGCCGAGGGTGCGACCGCCGTGCGATTTGGGATTCGGGGCCGCGGCGCGGAAGATCGGGGACCTCTCGGTCTTCTCGTCGCGCCGGAGAGCAGAGACGGCAGAGCGCACACGGTTACCGCGTTCTTATTCACGCACGTTCAGCCGCGCCCGTGACAATTCCGCGTCGTCGTAGCCGACACACCTCGTCCCGGCCATTGATTTTCCTTCGGAGTCCCTGTCGCCGCCGGACGGACGCAACGCGCTTCTCTCGCTCCCGGTGCAGCGACGGTGCACGCGCGCCGTTTGCTCGGATGCGACCTGAACGTAGCCGCGAACGCCGCTGCGCGCGTTGCGTCGCGTCGCGTCGCCGCGGACATCGCGTCTGTCGCGCGCCCGGCGACATCTACCGTCGGGCCGCGGTACCTTCCTGCTCCGCTCCAGTCCGCTCGGGCGACGGTAAGCTAGATCTCTCGAGTCTCCAGCGATGCTTGGTGAAAGACCGTCGAGGTGGCGCTGGTTTTGAAATTAATTTGAGTCTCTTGTTCGACGTGCGCCAGCCTGTTTCTAAAGACTGTATATTTTTGTAAAGGCCTTCACACATAAAATTCCGTAAGGACGTAAAACGTAAGCGTAAGAAAATCAACAGATTGGATTTGCTACTGCTTGCGTTATTGCCTTACGTTCTCAACTGTGATTGGTCGATTTTCTTATGCTTACGTTTTACGTCCTTACGGAATTTTATGTGTGAAATTCACGACACGCCTTTCCAAACTGTAAAAAACGTACATTGGAAATTCTTAACGAGTAATCGATATTCAAAATGAATTCTTTTCCCCATCTCATTTTTGTTCTAAAAATTTGACAGTCTTCATTTTATGTCAACTTTTTTTTTACTACGAAAGGAATCGTTCTTCTTGAATGGATTACGCTATAATTTATAAAGAAATGTCAGCGTGCTGAGTTAACGTGAGGAATTTAGTTGTTCCTTCCTTAAATCTTTCGCGTCTTTTCCGCTACGAAAGTGAACTTATTCCGATATTCCGATTTCCCTAAATCACGACTTGAAAAAGCCTCTGATACCTCCTGTTGCATCGCTGTACATTAATGCGAGCGAGGGCTTTTCTACGACGGTACAATAGGACGCGCCGCGTCACATGCCCGCGCTCCTCTCGACTCGTTTTTTCCGGCATTCCGTCGCATTGACGGAACCGGATTTAAAGGGCCGCTTTGGAAATTTTATCCGGACCCTCCGCTCGCGAGACGCCCGGCGCGGAACGCGCCGGCACTGGAATGCAGGTGCACATAGCCGGCGTGTATCTGTATACAATGCGTATACATATACATACATACGCCGGGGCAGGTAGAATATTTTTGAAGATTACCTCTCTACCGAGGAACGAGCGCGAAGAAGTAACACCTGTCGTGCGGCACAGTCCGCGAGATCGACAGACGTCGGCGATTCAGAAGAAAAAAAAGAAGAAGAAGAAAGGGGAAGAGAGAGGGTGGGTCTATGTTCGCTAAGCTCGGACACGAGTAAAGCCCGTATCAAACTACGGATTGGGATTGAGATCAGATTGAAATTTGACCAGTCGTAGTAAAGTTTGCTAATCTCAAGTTTTTGTAACTTTTACTCTAATTGGTCAAATTTCAATCTAATCTTGCTATGATTGGTCAAATCTCAATTCGTAGTCTGATTCGGGCTTTACTCTGATTGGTCAAATTTCAATCTAATGTCAATCTCAATCCGTAGTCTGATACGGACTTTAACTGCGATTGGTCAAGTCTCAATCTAATTTCACTATAATCCCAATCTCTCTCAACGATCGGACTACGAATTGAGATTAGCATTAGATTGAAATTTGACCAATCACAGTAAAGTTTGCTAATCTCACGTTCAGTAACTTTTACTCTAATTGGTCAAATTTCAATCTAATCTCAATCTCAATCCGTAGTCTGATACGGGCTTTACTGTGATTGGTCAAATTTCAATCGAATCTCAATCTGAATCCGTAGTCTGATACTGATCTGATACGCTTTAACGAGGCAAAGGGATTTTTACAAACTTTACTGCCGAGACCGCGCGATTTTCGTCCCGGGAGATAACCGAGGGAACACCCCCCCCCCCCCCCAATTTTGCATCGCCGAGCGAAGATTGTCGACAACAGTCGCGCAGAGGGAAGCGCCTTTCCTTCCTGTCGACACGAGCGATGCGTCGATGGAAATTACGCCGTGTGCCTTCCACGCTGCCGATCGTAAAGACGCTAACGCTGTCTCGTTGGGCCTAATCGGCGTTTTCCGCTGAAAAGTCAGGCGGCCGTGAAGTCTCACGGGAAACTCGCGGCGGAGACTCCGGGTTTTTCTCGGCGAATGCTGGGGATACCGGAAACAGTCCGGCTTTCAATTTGTCGACGAGAAAGCGACAAGTACATCTTCGTCGCGCGACATGATATCGATCCGATTTGATCCTCGATCTCGGAAGATGCTCTCGCACCTTTTTTAACTCGTATATTCTCGCCGAGACGTGCATTCTAGCAGATCTATTAAATAAAGTAAATTTATTAATTTATTATCACTTTCTTTAAATTCTTTATGCATCATCTGTTCAAAACGAACGTTTGAAATGAAGAAAATGATCTCAGAACGGAAATGGGTTGGAGAACGAACTGATTTCGCAGTTCGGAAATTGACAAAGAATTCTTCCTGGATTCTCTAGTAGACAAATTTCTTGAATGTAAATAAGAGATAACGGAGACAAGCTCGTGACATCCGTACTCGTCTGTTCGCACTTCCGAAATTGCGAGACGCGCGCGTGTCGTTGGCTACGTCCAGCAAAAAGAGCTGTTTGGAAACTGTTGCCAAAATTCGTGAATCTATAATTGGCGTGTGCACTTAAATTCGCTGAAGATTAAGGACAATACGCCAATCGGACTCACGAATGTTACACAGTTGCAAAGCAGTTCTTTCCGCCGAACGCGGCCCCATTGCCTTCTCGACTTCGCTACTGGGCCCCGACGCGGGGCCCTACGCGCCGATCTCAGGTCCTCCTACGCCTTGGACGGGGCCGCACGCTTCAACCCCTCCCCCTCGCGAGGCAATCGCCCTGTGGAAGCACCGGCGCGTCGCGTCGTCCGCAATCACTCCGGGCCCCGCGAGAGCGGCCGCCATGTTGTTGGCACGTGATTCCAAAAGGCGCCTCGGGGCCCGCGCTGGAGCTCGATGCGAGTCCACCAACGCCGATTTAACGAAGCGAAAGAAGCGCCGCGGCTTCCGATGGCGACGCAGCAACGACGACCGTACGAGAGAACGCAGGTCCCACGAAGAGATTCCGCGTCGCGAAAACGCGACGTCGTCGAGCGCGGGCGCCGGATGCGCACGGCACTGGGCGTCCCGTGAAATGCGCGCAGCAGCGAAGAAAACGGGGGAGGGGGGGCCGGGGCCTGGGGCCCGGCGCGCGGCAGCGAGCTAGGGCATTGCCAGCGCGGAGTGCGGACACGGCGGTCGTCCCGCGGCGACCGGTAAGTCGCTCTCGCGAGTACGGGGTGACCCGGGGACGTGCGCGGCTCGACGGCGGACTGCGATCGGGTGGCGGCGCGCGGAATGCGCGACCCCCGCGGGCCCGTGTGGGTGCCTGGGTGCGCGCAAAGGGGCGGGCCAGAGGAGCCGGACTCCGGGGACGCGGCCACGCGGGCCTGACCGTCGCTCCGCGAGTCCATCCGGAAGCGGCGTCTCTCCGGTAACCGCCGACGGTGTTCGTTCCCTCCGCGTGGCGAGAGGTGAGGCGCGCGAAGGTGTGCGACGCGCTGATAAGAGGAGGAGAGGCGGCTGAACTCGCGTTTGCGGCGAAGAGAACGTGGAGTACGCCGCTAGTAGACACGCGGGATCGGCTCGCCCTTCGAATTGCCGCGATTCCGGCAATCCTCGCGTGCTCCGCTCTGGACCCTACGCGCTATACACCTCCTCTGACGAAAGGAGCGCGAGATGGAGAGGGGAAAGGCGCGCGTGAATGTGCCGCGAGAGTAGAATTGACACGACGCCCGTGCCTTAACGTACCCGCGGTGCGCTCGGAGCGAGAAAGGGCACCCAGGCCGCGGTGGAAGAGGAGGAAGAGAGAAAGACGCGCGACTGCCGATAGAGGGGAATCGGCGGGGTTACCGCGGGGATTAGCGATACGCGCGAGGGACTTGGTATGTCGATTGTGAAGCAGCGTGCGCGGCCCGAGCGCGAAGGCCACGATTGCGAGACGACGCGAGCGTTGCTGCAGTCTCGAAAGTGAACACAGCATCCGGAGGGAAGAAACGCATCCGACCGAGCGCGGCGCTTAGCTTTCGATTTGTGCGACGCTCCGCTCGACTCCGGTGCGATTTACGCTCGGTCCCCACGATGCCGTTCCGAGGTGCGCGGTGAGGCGAGACACCCGTCGTCGCCGGGCCAGTGCGATTCCTCGGAGAGTTCGGATGGCGGGTGACGATGGTAACTTGGCGATAAACGGCTGCCACTCGATCCCCGGTTGATCGTTGGGCAAAGTTAGACTGGGTCATAATCGTCGCTCCGTACTCTCCTGGAGCGCGTCGCGAGTAGAAAGCCGGAGCGTGGGTGAATCGTAACGAGCGACGCGACCCCGGCTGGACGAGGTCCTCTCGCGACACGCGCAATACGGTAAGGCGCCGCTGGCAGGTGCACGCGGGACGAGAGGCGCGCGAAGGAAGGCGAGCGCGAGGCGAGAAGGCGAAGAGAAGGAAAAAGGAGCCGAAGTGGAGAAGGAGGAGGAGGTGGTGAGAAGAAGGAGAGCGCGGAAATCGGTCGTCGAAAGAGTAGCGCGCGAGCGAGGCCCCCTACGGCGATAAGGCGAGGCCCGGTGGAGGGAACGACGCATGTATCGCGCGGGGCCGGTCGCGCGGACCGGGCCCGCCGTCGCCGCCGTCGCTACTCGTGAGAGATCGCGCGCTGACCCAGATTTCGGCGGGTCAAACCGGCGCGAGGAGGCCGCGGCGGACTTTCTGAAATGGGACACGGCGCAGCCTGGAGCTAAATTAGCCGCGATGTCCAATAAGAGTAAGTCCCAGCCGCAGCAGCAGCAGCAGCAGCAGCCGCAGCATTATCAGCAACAGCAGCACCAGCAGCAGCAGCAGCATCATCCTCATCCTCCGCACGTGATCAAACCAGTAGACCATCTGCCGCCGCGCTACCAGCCCCCGCCGCAGCCTTCCAGCGGCATCTTGAAGAACCATCTGCACTTCGCCAACGGAGCTACGTCGACGTCGAGCTCGGCCCAGGCGGGCAATCAAGGTCCGAGCGCGGCCTTGAGCCATCATCAGGTAGGCACGCAGCCGCGCACGCAACCGCCACCCCCGTCGTCCTCGCAGCATCATCAGCAGCAACAACAGCAGTCGCAACAGCCGGCTCAGGCGCAGCAGCAACCGCAGCAGCAGCAGCCACCGTCGAAGGATGCGCAGAGCAAGTACTCGCCAAGGATAGAGCATCGTCATCATCCCCAGCCGGGTAACGCGCTGATCGCTGCCGCGTCGGCGGCGGCGTCCAAGAGTCAACAGCAGCCGCAGCCGTCGACCTACCTCCAGCAGCCTAAGCTCGGCCAGGGCCCGTACCTGCCGCCCAGCAGCCAGTATCCGGCGGTGAGCGGCGGCCAGAGCGCGCCGGTCAGACAGAGGATCAGCGACGACGAATTCCTGCGACTCGGCCCCGTGGAGATGCTCAAGTTCGTGCGCAAGACCGAGAGTGACATCGCTAGGCTCGCCGCCGAGCAGAATCGCCAGATACAGAACTTGGTGAGCCCTCATTCGCCGGATCCTCTGCTTCTCCCTGGTACAATCGACCGTGACTAGTTAAATCCGGTCTGCAATGAGTTGGTCGGTGCTACGTTCACCCGGAAAGAAAAAGGATTGACATACAGACCGGTATTCATAGTCAGATCTTATACTTAAGATCGTCTTAAGATCCTCTTCAGATACTCCCATACAGCTTCTTTAGATAAATTCAAGGAGATCTCGAATATAAGATCCGACTATGAACACCGGCCTGAATTGCAGACCGGGCGCATCGGACTTGGAGCTTGATCGCTCGGAGGTGTAATTTGACAGATTTCCCGCTCCAATTATTGTAAAAGTTGTCCGAACGCAAGTACGTAGGAACTGGGAGAATCTCCGAATTTTTGAATTGTAAATGTTGCTTTTCAGGGTTGGGAAAGTTACTTTATAAAAGTATCTAGTTACAGTTACAGTTGTCTCGCTAAAAATGTAACTAGTTACAGTTACAAGCGAGGGGGAAACCGCTGAGGACATTGTGGTGTACAGATTTGCGGCGTTACTGGGCATTACTGGGCATTTTTGGGGCATTAGGCCTTCCCCCACGGAAAAGTATATATTTCAAAAAATATATGAAAATATATGGTAATACATTTCATACATTTGGTATATAAAAATTCTATTTAAAAATCGTAGAAAATATATATGTCAAAAATATAATAAAAATGTAAATGTGAAATATATGAACATTATTTAAATAGTTATATTTTTATAATTTCGCAATAACGCTCCTCGCTGCCACGAGGCGGCGATCGCACGTTACATTTTCTCGTATTTAAAAATCAACAGCAGTATATGAGAAGTGGCGAGAAATCAGATCTAACAGTTGTGGCAAATGAAATCAATTTCATCTCCGCTGGTAAAGCGTTGAGAATCTAAATTCTAAGATACTTAGAACACCTAATGTGATATTCCTTTTAATATTTTTATATAAAATATATGATAAAATATAAAAAATATACAATGCATACATTAGGCGTATATAATTATATATACAGCTATGTATTATAATGCATATATATCATACATTTTATTATATATTTTTAATACATATAAATAATATATGAAAAATTCCAATTTATTGGTATTACATTTATAGTAGTAGTATTGTATATATTTCGTATATAACGCATATACGAGTAATATAAAAGTAATATAATATAAAATATATTTTGGTCAGCGGTTTCCCCCTCGGTTACAAGTCACCAATCCTGAAAAGTAACGCGTTACAGTTACAGTTACTCAAAAAGTAACGAATCGTTGCTTTGTAGTTACTTTCTTGCAATGAAAATAAAAATATCAAATTTTCATTTAAATTGTAAAGCGCCGAGAAATGCGTTCACGCACTGATGCAATGCAAAGCCTGATGCGATCTGCGGAGGTTTAAATATATAAAGTAACTATTAATGTAACTGAGTTAAGTTACAGTTACAGATGGAGAGACAGTAAAGAAGTTAAGTTAGAGTTAATAACAAAACAAAATTAACTAACTGTAACTTCGTTACAAGTAACGAGTTACTTCCCAACCCCGTTGCTTTGTATGTTTACGAGACCGAACTAAAAGCCTGAAAAGAGACGATTCTACGCGGTAAAAAAAAAAAGAAATGTGGAACGCAACCTAAATAATTATTTATATGTTTCTACTCGTGTCATTCTTATTTAAGAATGTTCATTATCGTTTTTGCATAACGGCGCCGCTTGGCAATAAATCCGCGCCGATTCCCAATCGCCGGCTTGATTGGATACCTCGCAAGTGGAACAAGTAAACCGTATCGTTTCTCGATGCGACCGAGACGATTCGTCGTATCAATAATCACACGCTACAATAATATTTCGTTCTAGATGTGGGGTGCAGTTTGCTGTCCTTGAAATCCTCAGCACGCCACGCGGAAGTTTTTGCGAGGCTCTTGTAGGTCATACACAGATTGAGCCGACCGTCGTAATTTCAAGCGGTCACGCACACGCGAGATGAACCGCAAACGATCGCGGGGAACAATCGGTTTCCCCCGGGCCGGCGAAGCGCTGGCTCTTTACCAAAAGTACTCGGCCGGGAATTGGTCACGCGTCGCTCGCACACGCGTGATGAATAGGTGAAAGGCTCTTTTTGGCGATCGGCGCGAATACGTCATCCGCGGGGATCAATGGCTCCGTTATTTCTCTCGGCACCGGCACAGGCGCGCGAATTAACGACACAAAAGACAGCCGGCTGACAATGGGTGGAAGATGTGTCGCGCGTAAAAAGAGAATATATCCTTTTTACGTAATGAAATCAGAACGCAAGTGTAGGAGATGCATTCGAGCGATTGTTTGCGATTGCCTGGAAAGTTTTATGCAACTTGCAGTCGACGAACAAAGTATAAAAATAAGCCGCAGACTTATAGTGATTAATTTATTAAGAAAAAAAGCTACGTTTCGACCAAATTACAGGTCCTTAACTTGATAAGTTTGCGACTTATTTTTATTCGTTACTTGCGGCAATAAGCACTACATTGTTCAGGATACAAAATTTCAAGAGAACCGTGACTGCGAGGAATAAGATGAGCGCGACTTGACAAAACTATCTGCTTTCCAGTTGAATGAGCTGCGGTTGCTGAAGGAGGCCAACCAAAGATTGAACGACGATAACCAGGAGCTGCGCGATCTCTGCTGCTTTTTGGACGACGACCGACAAAAAGGCCGCAAGCTGGCGAGAGAGTGGCAGAGGTTCGGCCGATACACGGTGAGCGTGATGCGGCAGGAGGTCTCGGCCTACCAGAACAAGCTACGTCAACTGGACAACAAGCAGCAGGAACTGATCAAGGACAACCTGGAGCTCAAGGAACTGTGCCTGTATCTCGACGAGGAACGCGGCGGTGGCCAGAGGGACGACGGCGACGGCTCGAGCTCGAGCACGAACGCCGAGGAAACTGCGCCGCCGAGGCCGAGGCACACTTCCACATTTAACGGTAAAATCTAGTAAACACGCCGGTCCCCTTTCTCTCCCTCTTGCGTCGACACAATGGGCGCGAACTTCTTTTCTTTCCACCGCGGAAAGAAATTCGCTCGAGAAGGTGGAAGACGCGATAATCATAATTCGCGGAAAATGAAAGCTTTTCCGAAGAAGCCGCTACTCGTGTTTATGTAATACTAGTACGCGTGATGAATACCATGCAAATTGAAATTGCTTACCGTCAAGTAGAAATCGTACGCGGACTATAGTTACGGTCTACTTTAATCGAACTTGTTGAATATCGGAGCGACTCAATTGCGAACCTCTCGCAGACCAAACGATGCAGTACGTGAGGAGCCTGGAGCAACGGGTGAAGCAGCTGGAGGAGGACAAGAGCGTTCTCCAGGCCCGCGCGCAGGGCTGGGAGGTGCTACCGTCGGGTGAAGTTTGGGACAACCCCGCGAGCCCGAACGATAACGCTCACCTGGGCAGCCGGCCAGAGGCCGTGGTGCGCGCTCTTCAGGTTCTCGAGGTCAGAGAACAACTAGAGAGAGAGGAGGGTCACGACGGGGAGAAGGCGTTAGTTAGAGAGATGTGCAATGTGAGTAAACGTCACTGCCGCGGCCCTTAGGAAAACAAAAATCTCAAGTGGAGGCTCTTGTCAGGGATGATTGTTTTGCGCGACTGTTATCGTGCAACTCGCTCGAAAAAAATATATATATTTCGCGCGAGATGAGCGATATAACGTTCGTTACGTTATTTTTATCGTTTAATCGTCTTTGCTTTCCAGGTCGTCTGGCGGAAACTGGAGGAAGGTCCACAAGCGAGGCATTAACGATCGTGCCGGGAGAACGACTATCTGTCAATTTTTGAGTGCTGTTAATATAACGCAAATTCTAACATACGTTCGTGACGTAAAGATAGTATTATAGCGGATAGGCGATACATTTTATCTAGATTTTTATACGATTGTACAATAATCTCGATACGAGAGTACCGATAGTGTCTATTTATGTAAATGTAGTTTGCGCAGATTGTCTATTAAAAAAAAATATTTTTACTATATGACGGTGTCTTATTCATTCTCTCGGTTGATCTCGCCCCTTTCCCCTCTTGTCGAGAATCTCCGCGAGATAAAGATCTCCGTCGTTATCAAGTTTGAGAAGCAACGCTGAATTGTATCTCAACGAACAGCCTCCGCGTGTTTTAATTGTAACGTAAGTTAGACTCGGAAATTTTTCGAAATATTCCGATTCACTTTTTAATTGGCGACATTGAAGACTTCCGCGAAGGTCGCGTAATTTCGCGTCCGCCAGGTAATTATCCGCCGCCACGCGTTTACTCGGAGCCGCTTTTCACGAAAAGACACCCCCCCTCGGCGGAATTTACGCATTGAATACGCAAGCGGGTTGTTTGTACTTCTATTTTTACCTCGTCAAAGGATTTGCTCTCAATGGTACAGGCGTCGGATTGCCCTACATACATCTCGACCGCCTGGTACGTCGTCGCGTCAATGCGAGGCAATTAGGATATTTTCCAATCTAGCTACGATCAATTTTATCTCCTGGCCGCTTAATACACCCCCCCTCTCCCCGCGTGAGCTTAAAAGCATTCGAAAATTAAAACCTCGAGCCATTCAAGTCGAAGCTGACGAAATTGACGACGTGACAAAATTAACATTTTATTTTCGAGGAAAATCGAATCCCACGGCCGGCAGGAGCCTCGGCGTCGTTCAACAAACCTCGTCTGTGTGCGTTAGAGAGGAGAGGCGTTCTTCGAATTGATCCTCTCGCGTCCTTGTATCTCTTCGCGAATTCTTCTCCGGCCGCCCCCGAGCTTGCGCCGCTCCGGACGAAAAGCGCGGTGGGGATCGCGTGCAGCGGCCGGCTGTCGGGAAGATGAGAGTCGCCGGTGATGTGCTTGTGCGGAGGCCTCGCGGAGGACAACGCCAGGATCGTCCTCCTTGCCGTTGTCCTGGCAGCGTACATGCTCGCAGGCGCGGCTCTCTTCCAAAGGCTGGAGAGCGATCTCGAGATACGGCAGGTACAAAAAAAAAGTGTATCCGCGAAGACGTGTATATATTATACATAAAAAAAAAATTACTCCTCGCCAGTACAATTGTCACGAACGCAGATTGAAGAAACGCATCGCTTGTTGAAAATTAAGAGACGTTACAGTGATCTCCGTGCGAAGTACTGGCGGACGAGAGTAGAGCGACGGGAGCCTCGTTCAATTATTATTAATTCGCGCCAAAGAAATCTAGGAATCGCGTAGTCTTGTAACGTGATCGATGAGCGAATATATTACCTCGAGATCCGCAGGGATCGAAGCGCGTTTAAAGCGCGTTAAAGAGAACGTTCTGTTCAATTGATATTTCCCGGGGGGGCCGCGCAGGCCACGGAATTCTGGCGGGTCTACCACGCGTTTCGGAGGCACCACCTGCGAGGTAGCCCCCTGGCCCTGCAGAGGCTGCACGAGCTGCTGTACGCCTACGGCAACGCTTCCGCTACCGGCGTCATTAACAAGAGACGCCGCTGGGACTTTCCCGGTAGCTTTCACTTCGTCGGCACCATAGTTTCGACCATCGGTAAGACACGTAGCCGTCAACGCCGGCCACTCCGTCCACGACGAATATCGGGGTCAGTGGGGGATTCACTTCGTGCTCCTTCGCTTCCTCGCGACACAGCGGGAACAAAATCGACCCTCAGGGGGGGGACGCGATCCTGCCGATTGCATTCCGCGCCTCTTAATGTCTGTGAAAGCAAAGTGTTCCCCTCGTTACAATTATTGTTACTGATATACGGCTTTTGTTATCCTGGGCGAGAGAAAAGAGGAAGAGATCATAAATCATAAAGACGACACCTTGTGTAATTAACTCAGTTTCCTTCCTTGGCTTCCTTCTTGCGCGAGTAAGAAAAACCGACTTGGCGCGAGTATTTATACACGATAGAGAAAAGTTTCGTCGGGACGATCGCATTCCTCCGCGAAACTTGGTCGTAATGACGTTGAGTCAAGGGTCGTCGGCCGGCATATGCATGAGAATGTGCTCGGTGAATTCCGGAATGCTAATATCCCGCGACCTAGTCTCGCGCTCATCTCGCACGGCCGGCTGTCCTTTGGCCGCCGATCCTCTGTTATATGCATGCGTCGCCGTGTAATATGCTCCTGAAATGAAAGAAGCGTGATACTGAAGTCATTTTGCAGGGTACGGAAGCACCGCGCCCCAGACAACGGCGGGCAAAGCGGCCGTCATTCTTTATGGTTTCTTCGGTTGTTCCGGTAAAATATCCACATTTAATTACGAAAAAGTATCTCGGGAGACATTTTTGAGAAATGAGCAGCAATGATTAAAAACTAATTGAGCCTTGAGAGTAGAAAGCCTAAGATTTTACGAATCCGGGATGGAGATCTAAACGCCCAACCCTGCCGCAACCGTTTGATCGCAACGTCGATGATTTAGGCGGCATCTTGTTCTTCAATCTCTTCCTGGAGAGGATCATTACTCTCCTGGCGTGGATCCTGCGCAGCTGGCACGTGCGTCGACTGAGGAGGCGTCTCCGCAGGAGCACGCTGACGTCCCGGCGGATCTCCAAGTCGTCGGGCGCCCAGCGGCCGTCTCTGCCGGACATCCTGGACGACGACGACGACCACGTGGACCTGGACCAATGGAAGCCGAGCGTGTACTGGGTCATGCTCTACTTGTCCGTCACCTCCTGCATCGTCGCCTGTTGCGCCGCGGCCCTTTACGCGCCGCTGGAGGGCTGGGGCTACTTCGACGCGCTGTACTTCGCCTTCGTCAGCTTCACCACCATCGGCTTCGGCGACTTTGTCAGCACGCAGAAACCGAGCTACCCCTACGTGCATTGGTAAGATTATCTTGTCGACGAGATCGGAGGCGCATAGTCAAAGTTCCGCAAACTAAATTTTCAACGACCGACTCTTGGGCGAACGTGACGTCGATTTTTCTTCAACGCCAATAACTTGTCGCGCTCCGGCTCTGAAAGTATAAACAAGTACAGTTTCTATTATTTCTCCCGATCATTGCGCAGGTATAGATTCACGAACTTCGTCTTCCTCGTGGTGGGATGTTGCTGCATCTACTCCCTGCTGAACGTCACGTCGATCGTGATAAAGCAGGGCCTGAATTACGCGATACACAAGCTGCAGTACGGCAATCGGGACGTGGCGGCGCCGTATTTACCGAGGCGGCAGTCCTCCGTGTCGAGCGTGTACTACTCCAAGAGGCGGCCGACGCGGCTGGTCGGCCGGGACTCGATCAGGGCGGAGGACAGCTCGGAGACGCCCCGCAGGATGTCGGGCGAGATGATCTCCATGAAGGACTTCCTGTCCGCGAACAAGGTCTCCCTGGCCGTGATGCAGAAGCAACTGTACGACGCCGCGCAGAAGCAGCGGGGCGGAGGCTCGCTCGCCGCCACGCCGAATCACCAGGTGTTGAAGCCCGGAGCGGTCGGCCCGCTCGCGATCGCCAGCGAGAAGTTCGAAAGTAAAAGCACGATAAACAGATAGGAGGGCCGCGGCGAAATAAAGGCTATAAAAAAATATATGTAAACGTACATGACCCGCACACCTGTCTCGAGTATAATTTTTCATCGTGTCGCTTAACTCGCCTCGACAATTTTTTTATAGCAAACTCGTTGACACCGACTACCCCTTGTGCGCTAAATGCCTAAAAAATTAATACAGGAAATTTAGATACTCCTCTTTCAACATTTCTTCCTTTATATCCGGCACGCTTATCGATATCGCGGCTCCTATAACGTAATAAATGATGTGCCACGCCCGTCGTATCGCTCATCGAATAACTTTATTTAAGTCATGTTTACAGTACAGTCCTCCGTGTACTCAACGACATCGACAAACATGCAATCTCCCTGCCTTCGCAGTCGCGACAACGTGTGTGTGATACCGCGTGTAAAATAACTTCAACATCGTCGTCGTTTCGTCGGTGAATTTTTCTGAGTGTGAAAATCGTTCGTGCGGGTTTTACTTACGATCATACACCAACCGGATTTGGGATTTTACGTGGGGGGGGGAGGGGGGGGAGGACACAATTATCCGAATTCAGACACGTTGCGGAATACACAATCTTTGGGCAATCTTGCGCGGGAACACGTGGTGTACGTACGCTTACGTGCGAGTGAACGCGCGGCCAGGAATACACAGCTTAAAATACACGTACGTTTGATCCTGCTGTTCGTAAATTCGCGAGGACGAGGGTCCCCTTGGCTACGTAACTACGGTACCGTGCGTCGATTTAAACCGGACATCTCGAGCCGACGGTTCAAACGAGCTGTGACTCGACTAGACTCATACGTGGATGAGACCAGCGATTACGAAACGATTACGTGAAAACAGTATGTTCCGTTGAAGATCTAAGAACGCATGTTACTTGTATATTATTCTAAAATGAGAACGTGGACGCAAGCGTTTACGAGATCTTGGAATTACGAGAGAGAAAGAGATAGAGATAGAGAGAAAGAGCAAAAGTGAAATGGACGATTCTTTGCGGAGATCGCAAGCTTTCACGTAATCTACAGACAATCGCTCGCCGTTAAGTGAAGCCAAATACGTTGCGAATAATGAATCTTCAACATTACTCGTCCAATCGCCGCCGTACGGAAAACAAGTCACACTGATCTAAGACGCAGCGGACCCGTCCGCCCGCCAGATTTAAGCCGCTTTTTTTTCTTTAACATCGCTTTGAACTGGTCACTTAAATTTCGTCCATCTACTTCACACTCGAATGACATCGGATTTTTAAAGTAAAACTACCAGGCCTAGCGCAAATCGCGTGCCGATAGTACCGGGACTTGTTCTACCTTTTTTTTTCTTTTTCTTTCTTTACGGTACTCTTAATACTTCAAGAAAAGATCTCAACAATTGTACGAGACTACAATGTTCTCCGCCGCAAGTGGATTCGAGCCTCGTTGGTTCTCAGTCAACGTTTTTAGGCGTCTCTTTTTTTTTCGTTTCCAGGCTCGGGCAAAGTATCCTTAAAACTGCGCGCTCAGTCTCCAACAAATCCGTCAAAGCCACTAATTATCATCGGTAACCGTCGTCATTGTCGATCGACCAACGCGTACAACCAACAAAACAGCGCCCAGTGTTTCGCACTGACGCTGACAAAGCCGCATTTTCCCAAATATTCTCGGGCGACACGCTTCGTCGCTTCGTCCAGGCGACGTCGCCGCGATTTGGTAACGGCAGCAAAACAACCGCAGCCTATCTCGACTGCGTACAAAGGTCACGAGATTCATATCTCGATAAATTGGCGACGCTCATCCTCTGTGTCGAGGATGCCGCGCTTTTCCTCAACGTATGTCGCGCATACGCACAATCTGCTGACCGATCATCTCCAAACCTCCGTTGCCTATCAGATCAACGTCGTTCGTTATTTTGATTTTCTGCTTCAGGAAATCCCCGTCGCATCCTTGTATATAATCGGATATCACATAGTTGCTGTCGTTGAGCGCGGGTGGTTGATTTTGATTTTGCGGCGGCCGGTTCCGCGATCGCGGTACTTGATCCGCCGGCTCCATCAGGTGCGCGTGCTTCTTGCGTTGATGCTGCAACAGCTTCGCCTTGAATAGAATATACTCGTTAACTTTCGTCGCGATTGTCAACGCGGTAGATGTAATCGCTTTATGCAGAGCTTCACCTTGCTGGCGTACTGTTTGTGGCACCACTGACAACCTTGAGGACTGGTCGTGATGCTGCCCACCGTCTGACTGAAGCTTGGATTCGGCAGTCCTGAAAACTCAGACTCCTTTTGCCGGTTACTGGGCGGCAAGGCCGCGCCCGGATGGTTCTTCACGATATGTGCTTTACGCTTACTGCTACTTTTGTACACCTGGAAACGTATGACGTGTGAAAAATACACGATAATTTTATGTCCACCTTGGATATTGGAAATTCATCTCATGCTACCTTGTCGCAGTACTGGCAATAGTAGTCTCTGGTTTGTCGCAGGATAGGTAAGTTCAATTCCGGCACAGATTCGGGAGCGACGTCGGGATGCCGCTTCGCCAGATGATTCACCAGCATTCCCCTTCTTTTGAAACCCACCAGGCATTGATGGCATTTGTAAATGAAGCGATTGTAGTCGTTCGGGTTCACCTATTGATAAAATAATTGATTAATATACAGTCAATCGCGATTTTACCCCGACATACCTTTGGCACAAATTTCTTCGCTTGGCTGTTCTGCGTTATTTGCTCTCCGTTAACCGTCTGGGAGTGATGTATCTTCGTCATGTGCTCCTTCAGCTTGTCCTTCCTCTTGAACCGTTTACCGCAGTTCGCGCAGTGGAATTCTCTGCGCGAATGAAAGTTAATTTTCCAAATTTACACACACCTTATTAACGTAATCGCAACGGATCCAAATTAAAAATTGTACCTGTGATCAGAGTGTTTCAGCAGATGCATTCGCAGTTTGTCGACCGTCGGGAAGCGTTTCGCACAATGCTGACACTTGTGCTTCCTTTCGCAGTGATGCGCCCGAATGTGTTTGCGAATGACCGAATACTTGATGAATGTTCGCTGGCAGTGAGGGCAATTGAATATACCGTCTTGATTCCTATGCGTCTCGACGTGATCCTTCAGCATCGTACCCTGGCGGAAGAGCTGCCGGCACATTGGGCACTCGAAGACCTGTTTGTTTTCTGCAAATCGGAATTGCTGTAGCACAATAGTACAGTGCTGTCTAGTCCGAACGACCGATTTGTCATACATTTACCTTTATGCGTTTTCAGATGACCGGACAATGCGGAGTTGTTCATGAATCGTTTCAAGCAGATACTGCACGGCAGTGGTTTTTGGTCTTCAGCGCCATGCGCCAAACAGTGCTGTTGCAACCGTATCTTGGTGGCGAAACGTTTGTAGCACATTGAACACTTGTATGAACCCAAAGGATTTAATCTCTTCGCTTTAGGTAACGCCGTTCGCCCGTGCTGAGACACGTGGTTCACCAATTCGCTCGGCTTCTGGAATTCCAGTCCGCACTGCGGGCACGTGGACATCTCATCCTCGATTTTGATATCGTTAGAATGAACGGCCGTGTGCAAGTTGAGCAGGGACGGCTTTCTGAAAATCAAGCTGCACATGGAACACTTCCACTCCTTGTCGCACTTGTTCTGTCGCGAGTTCTCCTTCTCCTTCACGTTCCTGTCGCGAAACATCTTTATGCGTCGATTGTAAGAATTACCGTCCAAACGTGGCCACGTGGGTGCTTGATTAGCCACTTCTCCTGAAAGAAGGAAGAAGCCAAGTTGCATGGGTCAATGCTTGTTACATTACATAATGTGTGTAATTTCTACAGTTACAACACTTGATACCTTTTTCATCTTTCACGTCTGGTTTGAGCATTGGCAAATTTCTGCGACTCGCATAGTCTGGACCGGGGCCCGCCTTTAGCTCCTCTTTCGGCGAGATGTTTCGATTGGTCAAAAACACTATTCCATCTTTCTGCTGACAAATAATCAAATTTTGCTCCTTGTACGTCAGCGCGGGCCGCACGAAGCGCATCCAGTTTGAAGTGTCTGGAAAACGCAAGACGGAGATTTAACATCTTGGAGCCTGAGCAGAATGGCTGTCTTGTATTCTTAAGTCACAAGACAGTTACCGTGCGTTACTTTAAGACAAAGATATAAAACGCAAAACATTGACTTAAGAGTACACACAACAGCCATTCTGCTCAGGCCTTTAACCAAGGGCAAACGCCACGGCCAATCACCTACTTTCGTTGGAAACGTCTACTTTCAGGAATTCGCCGTGTTCAGTTTCATAGAGCAGTGGCAGAGCGTCCTCGAAGGGCGAGCCGTCGTAGGCGCAAAACTCGCCTTTGATGGGCCCGAATTGCGTGCGCCTTCGAATATTACGTTTCGCAAAGATACCATAGGTCACGTTGTTCGCTGCAGCGTGCAAAGTGGATAGTTTGTTTAACAAAAGATATGATCCTGGCAGTGTTGCTACAGCACGCGATGGTACAGGTTGATCCGCGATTGCGCATACGTCGGTCAAGTTAGAGCTGTCGTCTTTGGCACAATTACTGTCGTACTCGTCGTCGCACCCTGTAAAATTGCCCGTCCAATAGGTCAGACGCTATAAACGAACGTAAAGCAACAAGTTGAGACGGGAAACTTATAGTCAGCCCAACTGGCTAGTTATTTTATTAGTTTATTACACAATGTTTCGACCCTATTTTTCGGGGTCCTTTTCAAGTGGTACTGCAAATCAACAGCAACGTGATTATGAAATAATGTAAGTTAATAAGTTAAGCAACGCACCTAAGTCAGTCATCGTCGTCGAATAAGGCAGAGCCGAATTATAAAATACACGAATACGAATCATGTCTTAGGAACAACATTTAAGTTTTCGGTGCCTGTAAATTTAACGTGTTATCGGTCTTCTTGATAAAAAACTTGTCGGCAATTTCTCTCTTTCTCCTGAGGCGCACGGTATGTAAAATTCTTGGTTTCGACCAATTGAACTCGTGATCATGTAATACACGGTGTTTGCTGACCACGGAGTGGCAGCTTTCGTCTTTTTTTCATGTCATTTCTATGTTCTTTAATTCTGGTCAGAAGGTGTTGTTTGATTTGTCCAAGGTAGGGCATGGCTAACAAATTAGACACGACTGACAAATTAGTTGGAGCCCAGCAACATCCACGCATGCTCGGAAGCAGCTGTTACACTTACAGAAATCTTTTTTATCCGTTATATGACGCTTGGATCTCCTAATATCTTTCTTCTCGACTACTTTCCTCTTCTCGGTGGACGGCAGGTCTTTGGCAACTTGTTGAATCTCCTTATCACCCTCTGGCAAAGCGAGATTGTTGTTCTCCTTGTTCGCATCCTCGGTAATGGGTGGCAAAGCTATGGAGTTGTCCTCCATCTCCATGTTCTGATTTTTAAACGTGTTGATAACGTTTATCTGATCGTCCTGCATCACCAAGAAATCCCTGGTCAGAGCGAAGTCCGTGCCCGGTATTCCCGTTAGCATCAGGGGAGTCGCCGAGGATTCCAACTCGGGCGCAGTTTCTGCGAGTGGTTGAAAGGCCAAGTTGAAAAAGCATGCCCGACATATCTCGCCTCGCGACAAACAGATTACTTCTCACCCTGCATCAAAATCAGTTCGTTGCTGACGCTGGACACCAGCCCGTCCTCGTTCCCATTGCCAACAAAGTCTGCGGTGGCGTCCGCCTGGGGTACGGTCTGAGTGTCGATCGGATGAGCCAGCTGGGTGACGTAATTGATGCTCGTTCGTATGTTCGGCTCGGGCTGCGACATGAGGGGCGAGGACGGGCCCTGCAGCACGACGACGGAGTTGTGGAAGGGCGAGGAGGGCAGTTGGACCGGCGTGGGGGAGTATCTGGCGGCGGAGCTCATATTCGGGTCCAGCGGGCTGACTCGATGCTCGAACTCGGACAGCGGGGAGGTCGCCCTCGGGGAAAAGGAGATCTGCTCGTACGTGGGGAACAGCCGGGACTGATCCTCCACATATTCAACCTGGCAAGAGAGCGGTCGCGTCGTGAATGACGCTCGCGTCAGCCGAGGGTCACTCACCGTCAGGAAGACGAGCCTGTTCAGCTTCTTCGGCTGCTCGCACAGGGACGTGGCGAAGGGATGGTCCGTAGGCCAGTTCACCGAGGTGTCAGCCGCCCTGTCGATGCTGGCTATCTCGAAGGACTCGGCAGGGGCCCCCTCAGGAGGGCCCCTTGGATCCATCTTACGTTGACGTATCGCACCAGCCGAGTCCGCGGTTTCGTTCGCCCGTGCCTGCGTTACAGTCACATTCGACCGCGCGAACCTGCACACGGGAGTACGAAGGGGGAGAGCGATCGCGGGGCCGTCGCGCGCGAGTGACACCAGGTCGCTCCAAGCTCTAACCGCGACGCGCGACCCGCGGTGTCGCAGCGACGACGACGACGCGGGTGGCGCGCGACATCGCGCGGCAGCCTGGGAACAGGTGTTCGTCGCGTGCGGGGACCCCTGTGTTATTTTCAACTCACACGAGAAAGAGACCCTCGCCAGCCTCAACGCATAGGCTTCGAAGTCGATGCACCTCTCGCACAGGCGATGCACCTGCTGCTGCAGCAGCACTGGCCCGTCGACAGTCGACGATGCCGATCTCGCATCGCGATTGATTAACGTCGCGACGGCGGGAAACTTCGAACGGCCCGACGCGCGCGAACGACGGCTCGTCGCGATTATCCCTCCAGCCGCGTACATTTATCTCGACGAATCGTCTAAATCTCTGCAGACCATTCGCGTTTAACAAACGTTTACAATACAGTTTTGGCCGACGCGCTTCCGTGGCGTACAAAACGTGTGGAAATACATATATGTGTTTGTTAAACCGTCGGAAAGAAATGTTATAAACTTATACAATACTTTTAAAAAGCGCGAATAAACGTTTGTATTTTTTTTTATATATACAAATGTTTCGAAGACTAACTGTTAAATATAATCCAACATTTTATTTACGTTGCATATCACTTTTTATGCGTCACGTACTATAATTACGTTACGTGTGAAAGAATAGAATTGTCTGAAAAAATGCTACGCGTTTAAAATTGATTTTTAACGTTGATCAAACGTGTTTTAAAACTGTGCTGCGCGGTTATCCGCGCAGTCTATTTGTAAAACCCGGAGTTTGTTGGTTTTATCAATTATCTTGTCGCACGAGGCAAAATAAAAAAACAAACATTCTGCATAAAATAAATGAGAATTATATAAAAAATATTGCGATTCAAAGACATATTGGAATTACTCGTGTAAACTTATCGTCTGCAAACATATTCTCTTAATTGACTCAACAATGGTCCAATGTTGGTTATATTAAAAATGCATTGGCCGATATTGTCCAACGTAAAGCCGATATTGGCCATAAAATAAATGTAAATATTGCACGACAATAATCATATAATATTATATTTATATTGGAAGTGCATTCATCAACCCAGTGAGAAATGATTCGTCGATCGATCTCAATTCGACGATGTCGACGTCGACATCGTTTCGACAACGATCGACGAGTCATTTCTCGCTGGGAATATTCAACAATATAATAAGAATATTAGTCTAATATTGATACGATATTAAGCCAATATTGCTAATTAGACAGATTAGCCAAACAAGAGAAAGCGTCCATCTTACAATATTGAACCAATATTGGGAATACTAGATTTACATTATTTCCTAATGTTACACCAATATATTGTACTACTAGGGAAAGCGTTGAATTTTTGCTATAAAAAATTAATCGACAAAAATTCGAGATATTTACTTGTGAATGTGGGAGAATGTCAGCGTATTCCTTAGGCTCGGTTTCACCAAACGTCGCTTAACTTTAATCTTAGTTTAATTCATGTTTGTCTCTTTCTAAAGTACAAACAGTTGGAAAGAGACGAAGAACGAATTAAGCTAAGCTTAAAGTTAAACAACGTTGGCGAAACCGGACCTTAATATTCGCATTTTATTTTTCCCCGATTATCGCTTCCACCCTCGTCCACTGCCGCCCAACTCATGAATGGGGGATCAGGGTCCCGCATTCACCCGACATCGGGGGGTTGAGGCTTTCCCTGACAACAGAGAAACAAACACGCATAAACAAGGGACAAAGTAGGCGCGGCCGAATAGTTATTGACAAACGCTTTCAGGTCTCAGAGCTCTTGGATTGACGAGACGCGATGGTGCTGTTCGACGAAGCGAGGAAGCTGATGGACGAGATGATGAAGGTGACGATCTTTCAGCCGTCCGAGAAACGTCGAATGCTGGAGGACGAGCGAAGGACCTTCCTGGACCCGAATCTGGTGATGGACGCGAGGCACAGGATATTTCGCGAGGATCCGGCCGGTTCTCCGGCAAAGCCGTCTGTCCTTGCGGAGACCGGGAGGTATCGAACTTCGTATACGTGGAGAGAATTTTCTCTTAAAATTTATCCTGAAAATCGTGTAATCGTGGGACAACACGGCATTTCGAAGAATCTTACGAGAGTTTCTTGAAATTTTACCATACATTTTACTAGTAATTATACTTTGTACACATTTTACTAGTAAAGTTTATGGTAAAATTATAAAACACTCTCAAAAGGTTCTTTAAAATGTCACGTTGTTGTTCCACGATTACATGATTTTCGGGGTAAAATTTACGAGAAAATGCTCTCTCTGTGTACGACTTATGAAAGTGTAGATCTTATTTATAATATACGCGTCTATATACTTCGATCTTTACATAAAATTTATAAAGTCCACATTTTATTTATAATATGCGTCTCTATGTACTTAAATATACGCGCGATCTATAAATTGTCGCGCGTAAGACTTTTAATTTTACCGCTTATCTTGTCAACGTTTTTATTGTTAGCGCAGCTTAATACAATTATATGAATGGATCATTTAAGCCTAATCTACAATGTGCTTTCTGCATCTAGAAACATTTTATTTTACATAAACGAATCAAAACGCTTAAAACTTTGTCGACAATGTACGATTACGCAATGTATAATATACAATTTATCAATTTGCACAAATCCGTTACGTATTTATTGACTACAAAATAAAATGTTTCTTGATGCAGAGAGCACATTATAGATTAGGCTTTAGCGGAAATGACGTAATGATGTAAGGAATATTGTACAAAGATGGATTTCATGCATTTACAGATTACTGGCGCAGGAAGAAACGAGGGAACTGCAGTTGAAGAGAGAACAGACTTTCATAGAGAGGGAATTACGCAAATTTGAGCAAGACTTGCAAAAGTCCCGTCCTAAGTTTTGCGGACTGTGCAGCAGAAAGAATATAGCCAGCTCGGATGACGAAAACTTTTGGAGAACGTCCAGCAGAGTCAAGGTAAGGCTCGCCGACAAGTTGCACGTTTAATAAAGATGAATCACTATTTTCAACGTGCGCCTGCGAATACACCAGAAATGTTTGGAGTATCTAAATTAATTGTATCAAATCTGAAAATTGACAGCGGATTCTTATCAGTGAGAGAAGGGACAGAAGGTTCGAGCCAAAGCCGACGGTCGTTCACAGGAAGCCCAGAAAGCCACTTGCGGAAGTCTCTTCTACCGAATCGAAAGACAGCAGGCGGTGCTCGACGAACGGGATCGAAGTCACGTCTTTCGGTAGCATCAAAGTGACCATCAAGGATAAAACGAGCTGCGAATCGGAGGAGCAACGATCGCGTATCTTAAGATCATGCTTCGAGACTCTTCGGGAGAACGCGCGGAATGGACGTCGTCTCCGCGAGATCGGGAGCCGCGTCCAGGAGATCTGGTCGCGAGGAAAACTGAAATCGTGCATTCATCTGTGGAGGACGTATGCAAAGAAGGCGAAGGCTCGGCGAGAACGCGCGGCGGAGGATCCCGACGCGCGAAAGATCGAGCTGCTCATCGACACCATCAACGAGACGCAGAAAGAGTTGAAGTCGAGTCAGAGAGCGGAGTCGAAGGGCCCGCCCTCGAACGCGAGAAACACCGAGACGAGGAAGAGGGATCTTTCCTCCAGGCCGTTCGTCGTCGAGTCGCCGGCACAGTGTCGATTGACCGTCCAGAAAGAGATCATTCGAAAGCAGAGGATGAAGCTGGCCGAGCAGAGTAAGATCATCGAGGAGCTGAAACTGAAGCAGGTGCAGGAGGAGATAACGAGGTCCGGCGAGGAGACGGTGAACGCGGCCAGGGAGACTCTGACCCACTGCGGCCAGCGGACCAGAAGGACATTGATCCAACTAATGAGACAAGCGGGCTACAGGTAGTCCTGTAATCACGAGCGTCCCTTTCACTTCAGGTGTCATAAAGAGATTTGAGACTCGACCAATGAATTCTTTATCTCGAAAAGATTATAGCTTCTGGTTAATAAATTCCCGAAGACATATCTCGATCTCGCTACTGAAAGCTCAAATGATCATCAGCATAATAATCGCGTCTTCTACGAATCAACTTTGTATTCCATTTAAGATACGAATATCTCGTTACATTACACGACGACGTCGGACATTTTAACTATTTGCATAGTGTGCGAGCGTATTCTGAGCGGCTAAGCTCTTTTATAACGAGCGACGATGACGTAAAGACGCTGGAAGCTAGTCTTGCGAACTAAATTAAAGCGGACCGTTGATTACATTGCTCGCTTTACACGCCGGTCTTTCTGAGGTTGTGAAGTAGAAAGTATCTTAAAGAGGAGAGTCCATTCAGAATGTGCGAGGCCTTTTTTGTTATAGTAAATAATTGAATCGGCGTGGATTTATAATGCAGGCGTAATTTGGCTGGGCGGGTCCTTAATTGTACGTTCTTTCGCAATTGACAGGGACAAGTCGCTAATGACGCCGATACGGGTACCGAGTCCTCCTAAATTTCTGGCGAGGATGGAAGCGCGGGCGGAAGCGAGGAGAAGCAGAATAAAGCTGCGCGAAGAGGCGCGTCGGAAGAAACTGGAGGACGAGAGGAGGCAAGAAGAGGCTGCCAGGAGGGCGGAGGAGCAAGAGAGGAAAAGATTGCAACAAGAGGTCAGATAATATGAGAGGTCAAAGTATATTAATATCGTATTGGGTGTGTATAGTACACTTGGCTCTCTCATAGCTTTCACCTTGCTAACAAAATTATCTCTTGCGAGGGACGTTTCCAGTAAATGTTACGCTGTAATACTCTAGTTTACATTACTGACACAATATCTCGCTTACTTTGTACTTTATTCTATAACATAATTAAGTAATCCGTCGTCTATAATGCCGCTTATACGCTACATTTAGAAATATACCCGCGTTTAATCTACGACTCTCTCGTCCTTAGGCCTTGCGCGAGGCAAGAAGAATGCGCGAGGAACGGGAGCAACAACGAGCGCGCGAAGTGGAGAGATATGAGAAACTGAATTCCATGGCGGAAGCATTTTATCGCAAATACTTGTTACGACGTTGTATAGCCGCGCTCGTCGAAAAGAAGAATAACGATATGAAGAGAGCCGACGACCACTTTAAGCGGTGCTTACTTCAAAAAGTGTTCGTGACGTGGAAGATGGAAACGGAACGTCAGAATAAAATTAAATCCGAACTAGCTACATCATTGTACGACAGAAATTTATTGCTGTACACGTTGCAGAAGTGGAAGCAGGCGGTGAAGGAGCAGAGAAGCAAGGATCAAGTGGCTAGAGATTTTTCCGACATGAGACTGCAGAGAGAATGCATTAAGGTGTGGAAATTAAAAGCTGTGGAGAGCAAAGCGGAACGATTGAGGAGCGAACGTTTAGCTTCGGAACATTACGAGGGAAAGTTGAGAAGCAAGTACTTCGACATGTGGAAAAAATATCCAGAAGCGGTGCCGATCATCATGGAGAGGAGGCGCATGAGAAACAAGTGGCGGGAAATTGTGCAAGAAGTGATCCCAGACTTCGACCCCAGGCAAAGAGGTGTAATATTAGAAGACTAGTTTAACGAATTTAGAAATAACTTAGATTTAATACTGCACGACAATCGTTGGCCTCGTATTTGATTGAGGTAAAGAGTATTCTTACTCCTGAGTACACGCAAGATAGAACATTCTTTTTCTTTTCTTTTTACGCAGAATAAAATGCGGGTTACCATTGCTGTGTACGTACGTATTTAAAAGTTTTCTTCTCACTTCAACTTACTTTAGAGTGCGTTCGTGTGTACTCAAAGTAATTCGCTATATTACTCGTACAATGGCCGTTTTATCACAGTTACAATAAATATACAAATTGTATGCGCAACGATACATTAAGGATGACGAATGTAATAGTTGTCGATGCCTCGTGATATGTCGAACGTGATCTCACAAGTATAACATTATGGAAGTAACGGGTCTATTATACTTTTTCATGAATTATGAATCGTGGATACATTGAGTAGATGAAGACAGTGTGCAATCGAGCCGGCGTCAACGCGGCTGCGTTTCCGATCCGAGCCATCTCACGTGGACTTATTGTTTAACGCGCTATGACAAATACTTTGGCCTTACCGTTCCCTAGTTCGTCGCATTTGATTTCATTACATCCTTTGTACAGCGTGTAATACATACACCGTGTCGAGTGAATTCAGTGGCCTAGCTTACAAGTTTAACGTCCCTAAGTTTTGCAGCAGAACAACCGGGATACATTCTTCAGCATTCCGTGGTCGTACTGACTTTTGATATCTAATCGCCGCTCGTTCGACGTCGTGCCGTTGTAGAGCAGCCATAGGTGGTACACGAGATAACAAAAGAGCACCAGACCCACGAGGAGGCTGTACAGAGCGGAGACGAAGCAAAGTGCGATGCTGAAAACAATGTACACATTATTGCACATATCGATCGGCTCGGGAAAACCGAACAGTTGCGCGACACATTATCTGCCCGACTTTTTACACATCGGAGAGCAAATAAGAGATACTGCAATATTTACGACGTTACGTCTCGCGGGGCCTGACAATTATCATTATCTCGCGATTGTTCAACTTTATAGATATTTCCCTGTATCTTTCCAGTTTGCTTCACCGAGCCTTGGTATCAGTGACACCCTTCGCACTTGCCGCTCGTGATATACTTGTGACTTCTCATCTTGTCGTGGAATAATTTCGAGAGCTCTATCTGCGCAGTGCGTTTTGTTACTCTCAAGCGCGTATCAAAGGCACAATTGGACACGGGGTGCTTTCCAGCGCGTAACACGGCGAGTCGTTTCATCGTCGTTGCTCGTCATTATTACACAAGGATGAAATGACTCTGCGTCGACACCGTGTCCAATCCGTGTCTCTCGCTGGAAAGCACCCACGGTAAATACGTACTCCAGCTGATGATACACGTCGCTGCAGTCGTCCGGCAGGAGTACAGTCCCGATAAGTATAAACGGATGGCAGACGCTGGTCATAGTCAAGTTGGAACCGTACATAAAAGCGAGCGCGGAGAAGAATAAACAGCCTAAGTACGACCTCAAATTGCTGGAACCTATGCAGCAGTCCAGCCTGAAAGGGGGGAAAAAGCGTGGCGATTGGTAACAGGATTGCGACAACGTGGCCCCCCCAAGTACGCACCACTTGCAGTGATATTCCCTGTTGAGAATACAGGTCTGGCACAGGCGGCAGTGGTGGGCCCGGGGTGGCGCGCGTCTCCTGCACGTCGCGCAGAGCTCGCCGCTGCCCTCGCCCAGCTCCAGGCTCTGCGTGGCGACGGCGCTCTCCTGGGCGGTCGCGTCCGCGCTCAGCTTGGTCCTGTAGCCGCACCACGTGCCGCCGACGACGCATATCATGAACACGAGGTTCTCCTCGGGCAGGATCTCGAGCAGCGGCACGACGCTCAGCTCGAACACCAGCATCATCATCAGCACGCTCGTGATCGTCCACATGAGGAAGAACTTGGTGCGCAGCAGGAACCTGAGGAAGTTGTGGTGCAGGTAGTAGACGAGGAGCGGCGTGAGCAGGAACACGACGACCGTGCAGAGGAAGGCCTGGGCGGCGATCACCGCGAGGATCGGCACCACCAGCAGCGGCAGCATCGCGTCCACGGAGATCTGCTTGGCGCCCGCGCGCCAGCCGCACGGGTTACGCAGCCTCTCCCAGACGGTCATGCTGCGTCGTCGTCGGCGGCGGCGGCCCCCGAAAGCCCTGAAAGGGAGGCTCCTCTCCTCCTCACACTGGCCGCATACACGCGACACAGGCGTCGGCGCGACGGCGCTTTCGAGGTTAGGACCGACTCCCGCGGCGCCGTCTGACGTTTCCCAACCAAGCCGGCGGTGGCGACGGCGGCGAATCTCGATATTCTCGATCTCGATCTCGATACGCTCGCGCGCGGGAAGCGCGGGCGCGGTGGCACTCGGCGCCGTTTCAAAGTCCGCGTCGCCGCGCGAGGATACTCCGCCCGCGAGCGGCAGCATCCTCGGCCGCCGGGCACCCTCGAGCGAGAGGAGGCGAACGCGCGAGACCGTCGCCGGACGCGAAAACCGACGTCGCTCTCTTTCCGAGGTTCTCGCCACTCGAATATCTCGCGCGCGGCGGCGGCGGCGGCGGCGGCGCTGCGATCCGCTCCGCTCCGCGTGTGCAGCGATGGAGGTGTGTTGTTGTTGTTGTCATCGTCCAGCTGCGCGACTGACAGCTGATCACTGACGGCGTACCGGCCCGTGCTCGACGCGGTGGCTCGTAACCGAGGTACGTCGGCGCGGGTCGACGGCCAGGACGCGGATCGGCGTGCTCGGGCAACGGGTGGGGACTAACCTCGCGGCCGTCCCGTACCTGGCCGTCGAACCTGGCACCCTCCAGCGAGGAGTCCTCTTCCGGTGCTTTCCATTTTGGCGACGCGAGTCGACACGAGTCTGCCTTTCTTCAACGCTCGGCGACAAGGGTGAGACCGATGCTTGTGTCAACTTGCGTCGGTAAAGGGAACGCACCGTTTCTTTCGCCTGGTTTTTCTCGAAGCGGGACGAGGAGACGGGGCGAGTTGCGGGAAACCGCGGTTGAAAAGACAAGCTCGAACGGTTACTGTGCGTCACTCGAAGGCAGAGATTTTAAATATTGTCCCGGAGGTACAAGAGGTCCTTACTGATTGCATTTTGCACATAGGCTCGCCCTTAACCATGCCCTTCCCATGCCTCTTACGCATTCGTGCCCAAGTCCTTCCGGAGCGTGAAACTGAAAGAGAGGTGAGAGGTGCACCGGGCGGACCGGGCGGCTTTCATAATCGTCTTTAATGAAGAATGGAAGTCGCAGAATCACAGCTCGTTTTGCTCAGCTTTCTCTTTTCCAACGCTCGCTGTGCTCCGAGCAAGATTCTCGCTTACGCTTCCTTAAGACCGTCCCACATCGACGCTTTAGAAACAAACGGGACGCAAGTACAGGAAATATGTAGCCAAGAAGTGAACAGTCATATATAAGCTCGTATTAGCTATACATTTTGTACCTTTCGCATTTAAAACGTTACTGGTGTATATTTAGGTGCCGAGAGAATGTTAGAGCAGTGAAACGAGGTGAGCGCGAAATACGAATACAATAAGCAGCAGAAGAAGTCTAGGAAGACTCGGTTGATGTCTCACGAATGGCGGGAACGTGATTCAAATTGAAACTGTATTCGGCCGGGTGGAAACGACGGACGTGGAAGGCGAAGGGAAAATGTAGCTGGAAAGGACGGGCTTGAAACGCACTCGTGCAAATCGTACATGTCGCGCTTAAAAATGGGACTGTGTGCGCGCGCGAGTGTTTAGGCTGCGAAAGATAAAGCGTGGAGCAAAACAAAGTGAGCGGAATGCGATCGGAGACGGGCGGATCTGTACGAGGAATCTGAGAACTCGGCCGACGCCGCGCAAACGGGGGACGTGAAAAGGAAGGGAGAACGCTCTTAATTGTCAATTTTGCGAGACGAGAGTGGCGAAGGTCAGCCATTATCGTTATCGTCGTCGGCGATGGGCTGTTTATCGACGTCGCGCGCCGATCACGAAAAGTGCGCGAGGCGATAAAGCAATTATGCGAAGGAGAAAAAGAAAGTGAGGCACGTCGCTTACTTGCAAAACCGCGCGACGGCGATTGGCGCGGGCCGAACGAGCCAATATCGACGCCGCGAATGCGCGAAAGAGATTTTCGCTCGCGGCCAATGGAAGGGCCCGGGCTTCTGCTTGGCAGAAAATTTGATAATTTCAATCGGAAGATTGAAATTACACCGTCCTATTACGTAGAATTGTAAGAGCCACGCGGAGAGAGTTTTCTCCTAGAATTATGTAATCGTCGGACAACACGGTATTTGGAAGAACTTTATGGTAATATTTCAAAAAATTTGTCCCACGATTGCGTGACTTTCAGGATAAATTTTAAGAAAAAATTCTCTCCGTGGACAACACATATTTCTACGTGCTTCGGCATTTCTTATAAACGCGAGGCGACCGATCTTCCTCCGAGAGGAAACGCCTTGTTCGCCGATTCGTTGTTTTACTATACTCGGAGATGGACATTGAAAAATTACTCACGTCATAAAACACGCCATTATCGCGCTGGCGAGGGGCTAATTAAAGCACGATGGAGCGTAGAGCTTCATTAAGATAATCAGCCACCATAATACAGTACCGGCCGACCGCGCGAGGAAAGATTGATCGCGTCACATGCGGCTGTTATCCACTCAACTGTTCTCAATTGCACGTGTTCGCGGTTATCGCTTGCCGTGTTTACTGATTGAATTGTTGGGGATTGTTCCCGACATCGTGGGTGGGAGCGCCGCGGTATTTTGCATTGTGTCTGAACGACGTTGGCGTCAATATCTGTGTAGCCATGGAAAGACGTCGCCTCGATAATATCAGGAGCGTATCCGCACAATTATTACGCGCCGGACGACCGAAAGCTCGTCGAATTACACGATTAATTCCGAATTAGCGACCTGGCCGTTTCTCCGACGATCGCGCGATGCCGAAAGGGAGAGTCGGCGCGACAACGAGATTAACGCCTCATTAACGCAATCAACGGGATTAACGCTTGATCGCGCCATTGACGAGATATCTAGATAATGGAGAAATTGAGGATTATCATCTCGGATATTCGCGACGAATGATTCATGCCGGATAATAATTATTCTTGTTATTCCTTCCGCTTGACAATCCCTTCATCGATTATCGGACGGCGCGCGTAGTGGTCGCGGCTAAGTTTATCGCCACCGTCTTTCCCCCGAGATCAATCGCACGCTGCCGCCTTGCGTCACATGTAGTCGCGTTTCACGCGACACGCTCGTTCATACTTTTCCCGTTTCTCGACAGATTGGCGAGGGGGCCAACCCGCTGCTCGAGTCACGATTTTTCGCCGTGGAAGAGAACCGATTGGAGGCGCCGGAGGCTCGACCGTGGATTCCCCCTTCCTCGTGGCGGATAGTTAATATCCGACGTTCACCCCGTGCTGAGGACTCGAGCCGGAGACACGAGCTAACGAGCAGGAGGAGTGCACTCTTGTTCGTCGACGTGCGCGGACAGACGTCGCGTTCGGCTTTGCTCGTACGAACGTAATTTTACGCTAATTTAAGTAAGCACCTCCGTTAGAAATTTTGTAAAGTGTCCCCGAATAAGCGGTTCCAACTGCACAAATAGAACGTTTCTTCCGAAATAACAGTTGGTGGTTGAAATCAGAAGATATCTTCGGGAAACGACTCTTAATAAACAGCAAAATTACGAATTGAATCTCCTTCGACGTTTTGAGAAGAAAATCTGAGAGAAAATATTGACTTTGATTCGTCAACGGATTGTTAACATTGGATCTGTTTATTGTGAGACACTTTGCACACGGTGAATAGGACTGCAAGCTGAAAAAGGTCTTCAAGTTTTCATTTATTCCGGCTTATTTTACCGCGGATATCGGAAATGTTGTAAGACCTCACAATTAGAATTTGATTCTTCAATTAATTTTGCAATGCCAGATTTTATCTGCGGTAGAAAGCGGTCTAAACCTTGTTTGCGAATGACTCTTTCGTTCTTTCACACACGTACTTATCTATATATCCTAAGATATCATATAATATCTATTTTTAATTATTTGATATGGATTGCCGTTGGGTATTGCAAATGAAATCAGTGTCGTTCTCCGCGTCGCGACGGTGAGCCGCTAAAGAAGAGTCGTGGGCGCGTTACGGTACTTGAAAGATGTACCGAGAATCGTAATTAATACTCTTCAGTATTAATTTTCGTGGCGACATTTTAACGAAGTATTTAAGATCTGTTTCTCAATCCCTAGACTTGAGTGACGAGCGAACGAACGGGCGATCGGAGGGAGACTCGTCGCCTTAAGGCAGCGCGAAGGCGCTCGGACTTAAATTTTCTCACAATTTGACAAGTCGAATCCTGCCGGCAATCGAAACGTAGTAGGCCTGGCGACACATGGATCTGTAGGAATCGAGGAGGAGAGGTTCGCCAGGGAGGAAAACGACTTTGCGTTCTCGAGCTCGTCGCTCGAGTTTTATACGAGCGGACTGTCACATGCTTCGAGCAGCGATAACGAGGCACTGTCGTCGTGAGCGGCGCGAGAGCAAGTCGACAAGATAAGAATTGCCAGTGGCGGTAGATCGGATTCGTTCTGACCATCGCCGTTGTAGCAGCTTCGCGGGTTCGGCGGTACCGGTGGTGGTTTATCGGTAGCCGCTGGCAGAGGCGACAGCGGCGGCAGCGACGGCAGTGATTGTTATCGGGGAGCCTGTTAGATCCGGGGTTACCGCTCTCCATCGTTTCGTGAAGGCTCCCCGAGGCTCCCGAGCTTCCCCGCGGAAGGCTACGAACTGGTGGTCAATCGCGAATACGTGGGGATGTTATGTAAGCCATACTCGCGCTCGGTAAACACATTCGACACTCCCGCGTCGGGATCGGATTTGCGAGGCGCCGCAATGTTGCACAGTCGCGATGGTCTGATCGCAAAAACATTGATTAAATGAAGTCGAGTAAAATGCTCTTTTTTTTAAGTTGTGGTCTATTGATTCGTTTTCGCAAAGCGTTTGAATTAAAATGTCACTGAGACGCCGTTTCTCTTTGTATGTCACGTATATAATGTCCGTTCTCCCCGACTATGTACTGCAAATGTGAAGCAAATTCTAATTGTCAGCGTAGAGAGTATACCGGGCACACAGTCTCCGACCTTCGAGCGACGTACGAGACGAGACGTATCGATTATGCATCTCAACGCGTGTTGGCTTACACAGCGCGACGTGAGGAATCCCGGTCTTTCAGGTGATCAAGTTACCTGGTCGAAGGATGCACGTCAAAGGCGGCACGAGGACAATCTGTGCGCGTGGCTGAGCTTGGACGAGGCGAGTTACGAGGAAGATGCGCGGCTGAAGACCGAGGAGCCGGAGGAGGAGGACGAGAAGGAGCGTGACGAACGAGCTCCAGGGATGTCTACGGTGTCGATCAATAAGCTGCAAGTTCTATGGGACCACTTCATCCACGCCGAGCCCCAGAGTTACGAGGTATCGGCGCGGTTTCCGGGAGACCGACGCTCTCTCATGAGCCTCGGAGTTTTCTACCCTGTCGATTCCTTTTTCTCTTCCTCAAGCTCTCGCGAACTCGGCCGTTGAACAAAATTCGACGCGCGTGGGAATAAATTGTTGTTATTATCGTCAAGTTCAACACTAATCGAAGCTTATTGCATTTGGATCATTTCCGCGGCCGGAGATGTCGCGCAGTAGTGGCTTACGAAAGAAACGGATGCCCTACAAGTTATTTGTGCCCCACTTGTCGATACTTTGCGGAGGGCTTCGAAATAACACGCACCTTTCAGCTACAATCTCTCCAAAGTCTAATAACTGATTAACAAGGCACATTGTTTAATGTCTCCCATATATACGAAATTTTCTCGTAAAATTTAGCCCGAAAATTATGTAATCGTGAGACAACATGACATTTCAGAGAATTTAATGATTTTTTTTAATTTTACCATACATTTTACTAGTAATAAACTTAGTATACATTTTATTAGTAAAACGTATGATACAATTTCACAAAACTTTCATACAATTTTTCGAAATGCCATCTTGTTCAACGATTACATGATTTTCCGGGCGAAATTTAAGAGAAAATTCCCTTCGTGTGATAATGGAATTAAAAAGCCAGATAATTAGGTACAATTGTGTTCAACACGCTAACAAAATGTGACACGTACGTCTATTATTAACTTGATTTGCTGCAATTGCGAGATTTTGATTACGTAATTTTCCCTTAACGACATATTTTCATTTCAACCGGTTATTTCCATCGTGAATCACGCGTGTACGTGCTCGATCGCATGTCTACGGTAAACAGACTATTCGTCATACGCATACATTAAAAGATCGCTAGACAATCCCTATTTCTGTCGGCGGAGAATAGCGAAAATTCGGAGTGCTCCAGTTTCATATCTGAGGCTTTTTATTATGTTGCGAGTATCAGAGGCGGCGAGCGTGCCGCAAGTGTGTCATTTTGCAATGCTTAATCGTCGTGTTTTTCATTTTATGTCCGTTAAAATGTTGATTACTATATCGCACAGAGACGCGAGCAAATTATCTTTGTCAACTTTGGCAAGTAACGAACGTGGCAAGTAAACTCCCTCGCTTATCCGCTAGTTTTCGCTTCGATGCGATATTTTAATGTGGCTTGTTTTTTTTTCCTACGGATCGTATCGCGTCTTCTGAATTGCCGAAACTCGCGTTTACGGATTAAGAATAATTAGTATTAATCATTCTGCAAATTCTACATAACTGCTTTCGCCATTACACTCTTCTTCTTCCTTTCTTTTCGAAAGATATTTCGTTTCGTACAAATTCTGCTGATAGTCTGACAAGTATTGATATTACGTACAAAATGTTTCAGAAATCGTCCTGGCTTGATATATTTCTAGCGGAGTTGCTCGCGCAAATTAAAGAGGGCAAAGACGTGAAGGATGTTCTGTCTTGTTGGTGAGAATCTCACATTATTATTATTAACTTACAATATTAATCTACTTATTATCTCATGTGCGAATATTCCGCGCAATATTTCCCGTGAAGTTCACGCGATACTTTCTGGGAAGCGTATTCGATTACGCGTTTATTTTTATGACGCACTGCCTTTGCCTCAACCGCAGTATGAACATTCGATCGCACTTCTGCGGTTGCAGTCGAGAGCCTTTACAGTAGCCGACTTTCGATCTGGTAGCTCGTTCCATTTCTTTTCTGCCCCTTCAATCGCGCCTGTTAATTGCATTTTTTTAATGCCCATTTCCACCAGTGCGGGCTAACTGTGATCTCGGTTTAACTTACCTTTTATTTTTTTTCTAGTTTCAGGAATCAGATTTAAAGCGGGATCAAAGTGAATCTGCACTGGTAGAAATGGGCATTATTCAAACGTTTAAAATATCCGATTAAACTTAACAGCACGTTGATTACAGTGTTCACATGTATATACCGTAAAAAGCTATTGACCTGCGTATTTTGTATTCTGTTGTGAATCACTTTCTGATAAGCGCTGAATTTTCTTTTCTTTGTTCAACGTAAAGAGCGACGGTATCACGCGAGCTACTAGAAATAACAAATACGTACGAGCCGTAACTGCCGTATCTCACCGATAACTCACATCTGATAACTCGATCATTGAATGAGACAATAAAAAGTACATGCGTCCGTTTGTCTTCAGTTCGGTCGGCGTTGGCGGTGTGTCGACCCTCGTGGCCTGCGAATTGCTCTCGGACGTGCACGAGTTGTGCGGGAACAGGAACGACGGCGGCGAGCTGATCGGACTGCGAAAGTACCTGGTCCAGGATCGCGGCTGGCGTTATCTGGCGGTGCTGCATCTGCTGGGTGTACGCGGTCTGTCCTGCGGTCGCGAACTGGTCGCGCTGCTGGTCGCTCTCTATCAAGTCGCGTTCCAAGAAGGGGCCGATTCGGGCGCCGACCTTACCACCGCGTCGCAAAAGTCCGACGGCAGGTCGTCGACACGTAACCAGTATATAAGATTTCACTGTAACGACAACACTGTCGACACGGTGAATATCGTGCTGCATGCGAAACGCAAGAGCGCTAAAAGCTCCGGCCGCAGGCGTCTCTCCCACGAGGGCGGCGATACACCGTCGCGCAGGCGATTCGCGCGCCGACATGCCGTCGGCGCGGCGAGGATCCATCAGACCGCCGGTCACAGGCAGAAGCAACCGTCGTCGGTTCTGGAAGCGAGACGCAACACGCCGGAGGACGAGACGAGCAGCGAGTGCGAGCCGTCGACGGACGGCGTCGATCCGGCGCGTTCTCTCACGCTGAAGATCCGCCTGAATCCGATGGACTTTGAATACTTCACGTCGATCGTCAGGAGCGACGAGGAGCAGAAGTGGCAGGCCGAGCTGTACGAGCTGCCGCCTCGTCCCGTGAGGAAAACGCCGCGCGATTACATCGACGAGAGGATCCGCGACGTGCTGGACGCCGATATCAGCAACTTCGAGATTAGTTTGCTGATCGTACAGCTGCTGCAGGGCTTGCGCGACTACGATACGCCCGCCGAGCAAACGCCCGCCGTGCAGGTCCTGAAATTCGCCCTGGACACGCTATGGTCGCTGCAGTTCGGCATAGACGGCAGCGGTTTGAATGGCACGGAAAGCGCGACCCTGAAGGCAGCGGCTGCCAGGCTGATGCTGACGGCTCTGGAGCGCGCTTTAAGGGCCGACGAGCCTACCACGGCGGTGATTCACAACGGCCTGCTGCCGATGACCCTCAGATTGCTGGAGAACGCCTGCGGCAAGCCGGTGAACGCGCTGGAGCCGGAGGAGGGCTCGCTGCTGCAGGAATTCATCTTCGCTACCATCTACGGGATCGTCACGTTTCTCTATTGTCTGCTGCACCAACGTGGCGGCAGCGTCGACAAGCTGTCGGATTTCCTCGAGCTGTTTCGGCTGTTCGTCGAGAGTCAGGACGGCAGGCTCGTCGAGAGGACGATATTCGCGATCGTCGATCTGCCCAGCGTTGACCCGACGAGGTCGATAGCGCGGGCCGAGAAGATAATCGACATAATAGGCGCGCTGACCAGCGGACTGAAGCGCGTCCGTCGCGACCTCTCGCATGCCACACAGTGCCACAGGACCAAGCACAAATCTTGCATCGACCACGTTCAGAGTCACCACCACTCGGACGTGCTCGGGGCGCCGTACTCCCAGTCTATCGTCGGCGTGGCCGACAAACAGGCGTGCTGCGTCTCCTCGTTGTTCGCGACGCTCACGAGCCTGCTAAAGGAATCTCATCTATTCGCGAGCGAGCTGCAGGTGAAACTGATCGGAATAATCACCGCCGCGGGCACGTGCTGTTGCCTCCCGCCCAAGACACTCCTCTCGAGCGTTGTCGCCTGCCTCCGGAAACGCGACCCCTCGACGTACGCGCCAGCCGTCGCGTTCCTGGAGCGTACTCTCTTCAGAGAACTGGGCGCTTACTCGACGACGGATACGTGCGACACTTGCGACAGACCGGTTAATTATTCGTGGAACTTTCTGGAGTTGTACATCGATTTGCTGAGCCCTGACGATCCGAGACTCTGTTACATCGTCATGGCGCATCTGCTGAAGGTCACACCCGGCTCCCGCTTTCACGTCAGGGAGCAACTGCTCTTCAGAGTCTTCTACCCGACTTTCCTGCGCGCGAAAGCGCGCTACACAGCCGATAAAGGCAACGCGACGGCGAGGTTCCTCCTGCAGTCTAGCATGTCCGTTATATCGTGTTTGATCGTGAATCTGAAGATGTGCGAGAAATTCATGGAGACAAACGGACTGCACGAGATACTGTCTCTAATAGCGGACGCGGCATTCACCAGGAGCGTTTACGCTCTACTTGAAGTCACCGTGACTGTAGAGATCTGGAGGGTTTGTAAGGAACTCAACGGTACGGAGAGCATTGAGGCGCCGGCTACCAAGTTCCTCTTTGAGACCCTCGACAGAGAAACGAACGGATTGCTCGCCAGCTTGCAGTGCCTCAAGGAACTGCGAGTGGACCAGCAGGGCGAGAAGGAGCTGCCCGATGTGCGTTCTGACTATCAAAGCGCTGAGTTGTCTGCTCTGAAAGATTCGAGGCCGCAGACCGCTGAGGTGGCGGCTGAAGGTCTCGATGATACAACTCTACCGCAACTGCCTGAAAGTGATATTCATCGCGAACAACCAGAGAGCAAGACTGACACGACAAATGCCGCAGCGATTCCCAATTCGTTCGAGAAGTCTCACTTTGTTATCGAGGAACCTGCCGAAGTGTGCGACGATGCGCCGTACAACAGGTGCGGCCTGCATCAAGCTAGTGCAGCGTGGAGGGCCGCCGCGGGAGTAGCGCTGTGCAGCCCGAAATTCCGCACTGAGCTGTCGGCGCACTCGGTATCCAGGAGATCGTTGCGTTTGTTCAAGTTGCTAACTGTGGGCATCGCCACGGACAGTATTGAAGGTAGTTGCGACATGTGGAATGAGATAACACCTGAAAAATCATTGTTAAAAAATTATTAATGAATCGTATCGTATTTCTTTCCACTTCTCTTCAGATAAGCCGGCGCACAAGCTCTTCGAGGCCCTGATTACGTGCTGCCTGATATCTCCGTTGTGTAAGTGTATTCGTGTTACGAATGCGATTAATAAAGCGCGTAACACACACGTCGATTACGTATTCATATACATATATATATGTCGCTCGTGCAGCTGCGGCGTTATAATCCGAAGATGTTTCGCGCGTCAGAAAAACAGTTCAAAGAACGTGGGCGGATGGTAAACGTTACTCCTGAAATCTCGGTCACGTCTAATTACACGTGGAAATTTATCTTATTTGTTTCCCAACTTTTATCCGTCGCTCTCGCCCGATCCTGTGTAACGACAAGCGTTCTGTGGTGTAGATGATTGCGATATTGTCATGGAGTTAGCAAAGACGCTGATGAGCACCGGAATAACCCTCGGCCGTGGAGTAGCTGTGATAGTGGACGCGATGTTGAAGGTCTCTATGCTGAAGCCGGCGCAGGAAAACAGCATACAGCAACAATCGCGTCCCAGAGTGCGTGCTGATAGTGTTTTGAATCTTGACGCAAGTCGAGAACATTGAATATTTATTAACGCAACTATTTTATCACAGCTACCAACCGTGTCGTTGGAGACTCTACCGGATTACGGCGCGGAAGACAGCAGTACCGGCGAATATGTGACCGCTGACGATGGATACGAAGCGGACATTGAAGTGCCTGGGAAAAATACCAACAACAACGCCCCCAAGAAAAGCAGCAGCCCTCTTGGACCTGTGATAGAGCCGAGGGGTCACGCCAATGCGCATCCTGCTCTGTGTTCATTGGCAATAGACCTTTTAATTCATTTCAGCGAACAGTAAGTCCTCAACAACTTTTTGCGAATATATCTGTCGACGCGTTATATTATTTTACTTTATGAAATCCTTTTACAGGGGCTTAGATTTCGAGAGAGGATCGATAATAACTGGTGGATTACGAAGGGTCACTCTCACTTGCCGAGAAAGTGTCTCGAGTTGTGCCGCCCTCGCGGCCTCGGGAACCATTATGAAGATACTGAATGGTTTTAAAGGTGTATTTACGGATAACGATCCGCGATATCGAGGTAGTTTTAGCACAAGGAAAGTGTATTCGCAAAATATTAGCATGCTGTATAGCGAATTTTTACAGACCTGCAGCACGCGGCGTTGGAAGTTTTCACATTATTGGCGACACAGTCAATCTCACCGACGGAGTTAGTTGCGTATCTGTCGTTTTTCAAAGTGAAGAAACCGCCGCTGTTGCCCTTGCTGGAGCCATTGTATCACTTGGTGCTGGCCGCGCGGCCTCAGCCAAATTTCATCCTGTCGTTCCCCGCGCAATACGACGTGAAGACGTCGCCGAAGATCCAGACGGAGGAGCATAAGAATTTGGAGAAAGCTGAGAACCTCGTGAACAATTTTCGAAAGAAGCATCTTGCCGCGGGAATTTGCAGTCCATGGTCCGTGCATGCAACGTGCCTGCCCGTCGGGCCGGAACTTGCTTGGTCGGTGTGGCTGCACGGTTGCTCCGCTTCAATGTGGTTGAGGATAGAAAGGGGACTATCAGTCGGCGGACGTACGACTGCTCATAGCACTTCTCCGTTGCTTAATTCGGATAGCGAGAGTCTGTCAGACTGGGGCATTCTTTCTGATGATTGGAGTCGGGACGGTTAGTAGAGAGAGAGAGAAAAAACTATTAATAATCACATAAACAATTATGTTCATTGTCCCTAATTACACCGGTAACAATAAGTTCGTTATTTCTCATTTGGACGCATTCACGAAATTGTCACAAAAAGATGAAATATCGATACTTGTTCCAGTCGTGGCAGGTTCTGTGTCGCCACCCATGCCAACGTCAATAATACATTTGATGTCCATTGGATTCGAGTCGTTGGTTTTGGAAACCTGGCTCGATCTGAGATCAGGTGATGCTCATTTAGAAAATTCGTTAATTGTCAATGAAGTTCGAAAGCTGACGTTAATTTCATCATTTCTAGATAAATTAATCTTACGACTCACTCGACCGGACGATAAGATAAACCGAACGATCTCCGAAACTTCGATAAACGGCATGCTTCCTTCGGGATGCTGGCATCATTTGACGTTAAACATTAAAGATACTGTCTTGAATAAGCGCAGTGCTGTGGTTGAAGTTACGCTCTGGGTGGACGGTTGGAAAGAGGTCAATGCTCAATTACCGTTTGACGGTTTACTGGTGAGAAAGCCTGGTACTACGTGTATTTTGTTAGGTCAAATTGGCTCGAGCAGTATTGGCGCTTGGTACCTTGGGAATTTAATGATTTTCAGGTATATTATTTTGTTACTCAGCATCCAAGTGATTCATACGTAACAGAATCATTTATATGTCTCATTCGACTGCTATTCGCAGATGTCCAGTATTTACGAAAGAGCGTGCATTGCATCTGGCTGGTCTCGGGCCGAACTACACCAACTTGGCGGATTGTATTTTAAACACTGTGAAACCTGACTTTGCACCCCTCATTGCGTCCGGCGCATTGAATGGCGTTCGTGAAGTCAGATACGGTTAGCAATGTATTGCAATTAACAGATGTACTGAACAGCCTAATTCTATAACTTGAGACTTTAATATTCACTTTTGCGCATTGCAGAAGGAGGTAAATTTGATTTGAGCCGGCGAAAATCGTACGGTGGCACTTTTCTGAGGCACGCCGTCGAGACGGTGGTATCAGAATCGAAAATCGACTGGGACGTCGTTATGGACGTGACAAACTCGCATCTTGGGGAACTGCAAGATAATTTGCTTCTCAGTTACGAGGCTCAAAATCCTAACGTCCTACACTTGTATCCTCAAGCTGTCGCTAATCCTGCTGGTAAGTGACGCACCACTATTGATATCCAACTGAGACTGTGCATTTTGTAATGTCACGAGTTATGTATAATAATTTATTTTATTGTGGTGTATTATATTGTTATCGTTGCTTCTATAGTTGTTGTGAGAAGTATCTTTCCGGGCCAACCAGGTTTCAGAGTAGTTTCGGTCCCGGAGCACAAAGTATCGCAGCAACCGCCTCTATCGATATCTCCGATTGTATCTACTCGCTTAGAGAGCCAGCAATATCGAGGCCTCGTACCCGCGGCAATTCTAGTGGGCGGTGTACCAGTGTTTTCATATCTTTTTGCGAGAGTAAGTACTTTTTCGCAGGTACTTAATAATTTTACAAAGATTAATTAAAAAATAAACGATAAGAGCGTCTGCGCATTCTCTCTAAACATTCATGAATCCTTGCAGGTGGTCGAATTAAGCTCCACCGAGGAAGAACAAGCCCTGGCTCTGTCCATAATCCTGCATCTTGTCCGCAGTGATTCAGAACTTCTGAACCAATACCGATCGGACGGCGGGACGTCACTGATTCTGCGTGTTCTAGAATCGTCTAGGTGCCACGCAGGGAGACACATTCTAAAGGCGATACTGGACGCGGCATGCGACAGCTCCATCATTATCAAAGATATCGGCAGCGGTAACCATTCAGTCTCACAGAATTGCGAAGCCGTCATCATAGACCCGGGGCTGATCAAAGGCGCTCTTACCGCGTGGAGAGCGTGGGTTAAATACGACACGTTGAATTTACTGTTGCAAGCGTTACTACTCTTATTGCGAGACCAACATTCGCATCGTGAATTCAACGCGTCGCAGTTAAACAGGGTCGGTGTCGTGGATACGATTCTTACTTTGTGTAAGGTAAATAAAGTAATTCGTACATCAAAGAACACACATCTGCACATAATCAGGTATACTTCAATATGTGATTTGTATACTTTATAGGAACACTTTATGTACGAAATGCACGAAGAGGAGAATACCGTGTTGGATTCGAATACCGGAATTGCCATTGTAGAACTGATGCGCGCCTTAATGGGTGCACCGCCCGAATTTGCTCATTTGGTCGCCATCACCGATTACCTGGTCCTCGTTCATCAAGCCTCAGAGACTTACGTCACTCACTCGCGACATAATATCTATTTTATGCTGCCACAACTCAAGGAGAGGAATACGAGCTCGAGAAGGAGCGATACTGCCATTTCCGACGACTCGATAGGCATGGTGGAGAACAGCAAACTGAACAAGGCGTTAACAAACGAGCAGGTGATGATTTTTGCCGAGAAATTTCTTTGTCTGTGAAAATTATGCGAATATTATATTTGATCGTTTATTACTTCCAGATTCAAAAAACGCGAAGTCCTAAGAAGAAGGACCGCAAAAACGTGCTGTCGTCGGATAATACTAGTGCGGGAGAAGATTCCGGAATTGCGGGTAGCGACGGATCCAATCCTCAAAGCAATGTATGTGTAATGAAGAACGTAAAATCGTGATACAACAAAATTTTATGTAGGTATTGCTTATTCGAATATTATTTAGGAAAGGCAATCGACATACGCGGATGAAAGGAGAGCCTGTCAGGGCTTAGTCTGCGAGGGGCTGTTACTATTGTTGAGAGATGCTGTAAGAGTATTGCCAGACTGCCAAGTTGGATTAGTGCTGAAGCACGTTTTGAGAGCTGAACTGCTGTTAGTTTTAGCCAATGATCCTGATAATCGCGTACGCACAGCACTGATCAAGGTAAATAATTTCTTAATGTAATATACGCCACGTAACTTCTCCCGAAACCTGAAGCAAATGAAATGTTTCACTAGTATCTTGTGATATCTTACAGGTGATACAAACCTACCTGCAACGCGCTAGCGATGAGGAAGTTAATAAGTTTATAAAACAGAAGTATTTCATGCATTTAGGAAATCAGATAGCTTTGTATCCCGGAAGCGAGTCGCTGATTGTCGCTTTAGAAAACTTAGCTCTACGAGGACCAACGCTAGCGGCGATGCCGCCGTTAATGGCGATGATTGCAAAGGCCGCAGGCTCTGATTCAAACGTTGTCAGGCCAATAATATCGTTTGTCACTGACATAATAGCAAAGGTACGGGAGTGAAAAACACGGTAGCAGCTCCGGCGTACAAATAGATGCGGTCGTACAAATTGATTTTCATTCCAGAACACGAGTGCGCTGAGAGTGCTGCTGGAGCAAGGTCTGATCGAGTCGATGGCACAAGCCCTGGTCGCGATCGCGCATAAAGGTACCTCGTCTTCCCTTCACCGGGACATTCACGTACTGTTCGTAGCGATCGCGACCAAGCTTCTAGAATTACCGGGAAATCATCAGATGCAGGCGGTGCTAGATCTACACATGATACTCGATTACATGGAACTGTCGGAGAAGTTACGATGCCGCGTGAGCTCGACTTGCACGGCCGTAAGAGACGCCCAAGTTGCGCTATTCGACGGAGAGTTGGACCTGCTCACGACTAAAATGTCGAATCCTTCGGGATTCCGTCTACGCAGCACGGCTTCCTACTTGGCCTCAGCGTCTTACTTTACCTCGGGTAATTGCAGTACATAAAAGATTTTTCGACACTTGTATATTTATATTTAAAAAAAATTTTTCTCAGTTCTCACGACATCCAGCGAGCAGAGCGATCACGGGTCCCGTTCGTCTAGTTACGCAAACTTTCACACGAACTCGCCCCCGGTGCTACGCGAGCCTAGTAAAGGAGAATTGAACGATCGTTTTCGCATTATCGTGACACGTGCATGTGAATTTATAATGGCCGCCGACGCGTCGCCGTCCGTCAACGAATTGCAGCTAACGAGAAGGCTGTTTTCCATTCTTCTGCACGGCCTGTGTAGCCCGCTGGAGAAGAAAAATCACTGGGGTAACACGTGGTCCGTCAGATCCGCCTTAAGGAAGTACACGGCCAGAATTATGGTATGGTTGCTGGAACCGCATCAGAGTATCAATACGAGAATATACGCCATCAGATCTCTAATGGAAGAGCCAAGAGCTCGTGAAATCTTGTCGTGTATTCTGGAAGTTCACCCACAGGTATTTGTGTTAATTAACTTAGTAAAATAAATTTAAACAAAATATTCCCCATTTTACGCATTTTTTACCCGAAGTTATCTATCTACATTGAAATATAGATTACCGAAACGGTTTACTGTTATGACCCTTCACTCGGACAACTTTTAATCTTGCAATCAACTTCTTATAAAACCGTGGCGTACACGGGACACGAAAAGTGGGATCGAGACTCGTCTACGACCGCTCTTACACGGAGCCAAGATGTGAATTATTATTATCTGCAATGTTGTGTCTAGATGGAGCAAAAGTTTACCGTGTTCTTCTGGGACCTGTTGCAAAAGCGGGACGAGATGCCGAGTGCCGACGCTAGGGTGTGTGCAGAGTTGAGAGAGGCCCTGCGCGTATGGAACCTCGCCAAAGGGATAGAACAAGCTAGTCCCGAAGTGTGGAATGACGAGTTAGCCTTGCTACGTCGAGATCTGCTCCCAGATCAAGATATTTGTATCGACAATTATCCCGCGATTTTAAGGTAGCGCGCGTCTATCGCATTCATCCTGGAAATCGGAAATTTCGTTGGAAAGTTAATAAAACAATGTAATTTCACGTTAGAATCGGCAAGAGGTTCGACACGTTGGCGAAGCAGCTAACCGAAAGCGCCATGACTATAACGCGTTCGGTTGTGGAAGAGCAAAACCGCGAGCGTAAAGTATTGATGGAGCAGCTGAAACACACGCGAGCATTGGAGGCTCAGGCGGTGGCCAGATGGAGAGACATAGCCAAGCGACTAACACACGAACGGGCGCCGTGGCACTTTCCCGAGAGCTATCCGAAAAATTGGGAGTTGGATCCAACTGAGGGTCCGGCTAGAGTCAGAATAAGACTTCAGAGGTGTCACCTGAATATTGACAAGAAATTCGTTTTGCCTGAATATCAAGATGGTTTAGGTGTGTCTACAACGTAATAAGTATTATAAAATATTAAAGAGTTTGTCTCTGAATGTCCTTATTAACGCTCACGTATACGGTAAAGTTTAGTAGATTGGAGAAACTCGTATTTCAATCTTGGATATTTTGCAGCGTCTTCTAATGCCGAAATGCCTTTATCGTACTTATTTACGAGCGCTCGTGAGGACACCAATACTGCGGCTCTAATCGAACGGTTGCACACGAGTGAGAAAATACGTAAGATGTCGCAGGCGAAAGTAGTTACACCCAGGGCCGAATTAGCCGGGGAAGTCCTTATTGGCGAGACGTGCGTGTATTTCGTTCCGGACAATCCCGATATGCCATTACATACGGACGTGGGTCCCTTTGTTTCTTATAATTGTAAAATTTCACGGTTAACCAGCAAGACTTCTTAACCATCGTTGATTGTAGATAGCATTGGGTGGTTTCGATTTGGCTGTGGCCGGTGGTACTGCTTGGCGTCTCGAGGACATTCGAGAATTGCACAGAAGAAGATACCAATTGCAGGAGAGAGCCATCGAAATCTTTCTCATTACTGGTAGAACGTACCTGCTGGCATTCAACTCGGCCAAGGAAAGGGACGAATTCACGACGGAGCTGTCCGCTTGCAATTTACCCAGGCGAATCCCCGGCGACGACTTGGGAGAGGCTCTAGCCTTGTGGAGGAGTGGGGCGCTCACTAATTGGGAATACATAACTTGCTTGAACAAACTGGCAGGTCGCTCGTACAACGACTTGATGCAATATCCCGTATTCCCGTTTGTCCTGGCAGATTACGTCAGTGAGAAGATCGACTTGAATAACCCGAAAATTTATCGGTAAATAATATGGAAATTACGTGGCGCACACGTTCGAACGTCTCCAACACACGCGAATACACTTGTGAATGTATTTTTACAGGAATTTTAAACGACCGATGGCTGTGCAAGATAAAAAGAACGAGCAACACTACATAAATAATTATAATGTAAGCCACTTCGAGTGATAATCGTTATTGTTTGACGTTTTGTTTGTTGTATCACTAATAATTTTATTTTTATACACAGTATTTGAAACAAACTTTAACAGAAGGATTTAATCTAATTGCCTTAAATCAAGGACCATTCCATTATGGCTCTCATTATAGTAATTCTGGAACTGTATTACACTTTTTGGTACGGCTTCCACCGTTTACTAGCATGTTCCTTTGTTATCAAGGTAGTTATCATCTTTTTACAGAAAAGATTATTCTTTTGCTATGATATTTATCGAAAGACTGATCATTGTTAAAAAAAACTGTTCTTACAGATAACAATTTTGATATTCCCGACCGAACATTTCATGCATTGGCTACCACATGGAGATTAACTAGCTGCGATTCAACGACGGACGTGAAGGAATTGATACCCGAATTTTTCTATTTGCCTGAGTTTTTATTAAACTTTGAGGGCAAGTCCCAATTTACTGCATTTAAATTTTATCATTCATTAATTTTTCATTTAAATTTAAATTTTTAACTTAAAAATATGAAGTAATACGTGCATTAATAACAAACAATAACACGTTTACGTGTATTGCAGGATTCAATTTCGGTGTTCGACAAAATGGTAACAAAGTCGGAGACGTTGAATTGCCGAAGTGGTGCGGCGGCGACGCACGTCTATTTATCTTGGCGCACAGAGCCGCGCTGGAATCTGACATTGTGAGGGAAGTATTGCCATATTGGATCGATCTCGTCTTTGGATTCAGACAGACCGGGAGACCGGCAATAGAGGCCATAAATGTCTTTCACCCGGCGGTACGTGCTCTTGCGTTATCACAGCGTAACTTTGAACGAATGACTATTAAACAGCTCGTTCCGCGCATTTAGACCTATTACGGATTCGACGTAGAGCAGATAACCGATCCCTTGGAGCGCCAGGCCTGGGAAACCATGGTACGAACTTATGGCCAAACGCCCGCGCAATTATTCAGAGCTCCTCATCCGTTGATTCAAAATCTCGGCAATATAACGCTGTCTAATCAGACGCCGCAGGTTATCGAAGGGATCGATGGTGATTATTTTTCATGTGGTTTTTAAACCGTTAATCTGTCAGCGTTAATACCGAATCGCGTGTTGAATCCGTTAAATGTTGCAACTGTCTGATGTAATCGCAGGTATAAAATGGGGAAACTACGTGGGCGCGCCTGGCAACGAACCTGTGTTGTGTTGGAAACTTAAACACAAAACTCCGCTAGCTTCTCTAGTTCCTCTAGCGACCGGTGACGTTTTCGGTTTGCCTAATCACACCACGCTTCTCCTCGGTTATACCAAGGAAAAAGGTTACTGATTCATATCACGATTGTTGCATACGGTAACGCTCTTTGTACAACTCGAGGCTTCAAATGTGAACGAAAGCATTTTATGTGATCAGGTAGCAGCATGTTGAGCGGTATGTCTGTATTGGGTGTCGCATTAGCGTCGTGGAGCGGCACAGATGGAATTGCTAGATTAAAATGTAAGAAGGAACAGCCGCCAAAGCCTCTAATTAAATCTTCAGGCCTCGATCCCGTAAGTATCTTAACGCGCATTTCGCAGTGAATAAGACGCCGTCGAGAATTAAATAACAATAAAAGAGGAAGAAAACAATTTGCAGGATTATAAAAATTATTTCTTTTTTTAAGTGGAACATTAAATATGTACGTGCAACTGTTTCTCAGATCACGACGTTGGCGTCTACTCCCGACTGCGGGCAGCTCTGGGTTGGACATTTATCAGGCAGAATCACGGTGCATGCGTACACCATAGGGAGTACGGGTAAAATCGAGTTCAGTTCAGCGTCCGCGACAGTACTTTTGGCTCACAGCAGTCGGGTGACGGTGATATCTCTGTCACGTACGTTTAGCGTCGCCTGTTCCGGCGATGGCAGTGGCGTCATTGTTATTTGGGACTTGAACAGGTATGCGGCACTCGGAAATAAATTTCGCGCGTTTAAGCACGGGGGAGAAAAGAGTCGCATTTGTATATTTTTATTTTTAAACAGCCTAACGTACGTGAGGTCAATAGTCCGTGACCAAGGTTACGCGATACATCTCCTGTGTATTAGCGAGACGCTCGGGGATGTAGCCGCTACTTGTGACATTCCCAGGTCGGAGCACAACGCGAGCAACAATCAGTCCGAATTAACGGTGCATACTGTAAACGCGAGGGCCGTGGGCTCCATTTTATCGAGAAGACGCGTAACGGCACTCTGTTATAGCAACGCACCGGAGGGTGTTTCGGTCAATGTCGTCGCAACCGGCCTAGACAACGGAATAATAAGGTACGAAACACGTGCGTAGCTTTACTAAAACGAACAATCGTTGAACGAAAGTGTCCCCCCCTGATGATGCAGATTGTGGAGCAGTTGGGACCTGCAGTTAGTCAGGGAAATTTCAAGTAACGCGAGAGGTTGCGGCGCGATAATCGCCGTGGCGTGGCCTCTGGATCAGCATCATTTGTACGCGGTCACGGAGGACTCCACCGTGCTCATTTGGGAGGGGTCTAAGCGTCTCAGCAACGGCACTCCGAAATTCGTCAACTTGACGTCGTACTAATCTGTAGAATCATCATCCCAACCATTTAAACGGGAAGAAATGGCGTACCCATTGGGACGAGAGCTTATATATAAAGAAAGAGAGCTGGATTGGAAGCATAAACACGAGATTATTTTCTACATTACGGTTGTAATGTTTATGCTAACGTTCAGCTTCCTTGTAGCATTTCTTAATATGATTTCCTGATGTGTAATTGGAGCTTCTACTTCGTTCCGCGTTATTATGTAAGAAACAATGTATTCGTCTCGGCTAATCGCATTTATCCTCTCCCTCTCTCTTTATTTTTACCCCTAGTTGTAATCATGACAACGTATTGAAGAAGAAAGTGAACAATATGCCGAAGTATTATTTTTATCGATTCTCCCGATATAATACGAGTGTACACCCGTAATTATATATTTTGCATTATATTTTTATATAAATTTTTCTATGGATCATGCATTCGTATAGATTGTACATCTCATTGGTCAGTGCTATAATTTATACATATAAATTTTTATAGGGTAATTACATAATGCAACATAATACACGACAGACGCGTTTGTACGAACGAACGTTTCTCCAATGTTTGCATTCCTCTCGCTGATACCACTATGCAAATGTATGTATATATGTATATGTATATCGAATAAATCTTCACTGCATTAGGGCGACGTCTCATTTATGTCCAGCGCACAAACCCGCAGTTGTTTACCTCAGATCTCGTTCAGGCAGGGCTCAATTATCTCGTACATGGGATAATACTTCGTCATCCTCCTCGCAATCTGTTCCGCCGTGTCTCCGGTCGAGTTAGCCAGATGGGGATTCGTGTCGGGGTGCAGCAGAAGGAGCTGCAGGACGGGGGAGTTGTGCGAGCTCGCGGAAGCCAGGTGTAATGGCGTTTGTTCCCCCTTGCTCTTCGCATTCACGTCCGCTCCGTTTGCGATCAGGGCCTCGACGCACTTCGTGTTGTTCCAGCAGCACGCAGAGTGCAACGGCTGCCACTCGTCTTGAGTCCTGGCGTCTACTCTCGCCCCGGCTTCGAGCAGATGCTGTTAAGACAGAGACACGCGGTACACGGCCGTCGCTTCGAGCGATTTCGGAGGCGCTGGGGCAAGGAGGTGATCTCTCCTTCGTAAACCTACCTCGACGACTTCCACGTTATTGCCGTAACACGCCCTGTGAAGCGGAGTATAGCCGTCCTTGTCCGTGGAGTCCAGTAAGAGGCGGTTTTTGAGCAATAATCTCTGAATTTCCTCCAGATCTCCCTCCTCGGCGGCGCTCAATATCGCCTTCGCGTCAGGCTCTGGGGCGGAAGAAAGACACGCTATAAAGACGCACATAGACGCGGAGAGAGAAGTTAACGCGGTAGAAAGTGTCTCGGGGGCCCCTCGCGAGACGTAGACACGGGATTTCATTGCCTCCGGTAGTCGCGGACGCGGTCAGCTTTCGAGTTGGTCGCGGTGGACACCGGTCGGGAGATCCTAACCTCTCGCATTGCGTTCCGCCTCGACACCGTCGTCGTCGTCCTCCCAGGCGCTCACTTGCATCCGCTCGCTACGCGGGCTGCTGAGAATCTTGTCGCGTATCGCCTCCAGGTCTTGCAACTCGTCGTTCTCCTCGTCCGACGACATACTCGTCTCGTTTCAAGCCGCATCAGCTGAGCGACTCTCCCCTGCCTCGCACGTCAGCTGTTCGCAGCGTGGAAGCACGTGCGAATCTGAGAGAGTCCGTGCACCTGTGACCTGGTCCGATTGTTTGTCAATTTTACAAAATGGACTTTGTTAACAAAACGGATTCCTATTGTAGCATTAAACGTATTAAATTTGAAATATTATTAATGTTTCTATGTATATGTGTTAATATTTCTATCAAATTATTGTTACACAATAGGCTTGTTGTCTGTTGCTACACTGGTGAACTAGTGCAACAAGTTAGAGTAGGACAAGTATATTTTTTCTCATTCTAGCTTACTGCACTATTCACCAGCGCAGCAATAGAAAACAAGCCTCTTGCTACACACACGTGGCAAAATGTGAACATTAATTGGCTACGTATAGTAGTCGATGTTCACGTTTTTTAATGTCCACACCAGAGCGTATCGCATTCGAGGATCACCTAAAACTTGGCCGTAGCAGCTCTCTCAGGCTTCTCTCTGTGTATAACTAGAAATCTCGCCAACGAGGAGATTCAATCGAAATAGCCTTATTCGATAGATACTCCTTTGTGCATTCGCGACGCATTCCACGGAATAAAAAGTACGATAGGAGAGGATCATTAACTGAATCAATCTCGAACTGTGTAATGATTCTCCGATCGGCATTTATTTTGAATAGATCATTATTAAATATCTCCGCAAAGCTCGCAGATTATGAAACTATTTACGAAACTAACATATTTCGAAGCGCGTTGTAAATCACCGCGGCCGCGTCCCTGCAGTCACACTGCGCCAGCCATTTTTAACGTACGTACATATAGCCCAGTGAAAATTGATTTGTCGATCGAGGTCGAAACGATGTCGAATCGACGTCAATGTGACGGTGTCAAGAGGCTTATTTTCTGTTGTTACACTGGTGCAATAAATTAGAGTAAGACGAGTATGACATTTTTTATCATTCTAGCTTACTGCACTGGTGAACCAGTGCAGCAATAGAAAACAAGCCTAATTCGACATCGATCGACGTCGAATCATTTCTCACTAGGAGGTACGTTGTATTTACGCACACGCTTCTCTAATTTTCTGGACGGAATTGCGTCGAGCTCGCAACGGTATTTCCCAATTGAACCTCGTCGCGAGATTCTCCTTACGCTATAAATCACGCGGATACAGCGCGAAACTATCGTAGGCCGTTTTCGGAGCGAGTCTTCCCTCGCGATAACAATTTTACGTCGGAGTTTTGCCTTCGCGGTACGAGAGCCCAATTTCGGGAGGAGGAGAGACGTGACGTGAGAAATACCGACGTGTAATTGACGTGAAAATTAAGCTATATGGAGAGATCGACGGAGAGGTCGGCGCAACGGCGCGATTTATCTCCTGTTGATGAATATATCGCGAATCTGGTCCGTCAGCCACTCGATCGCCGGCTGCAGGCCCTCGCCGGTCAGCGCGTTCGTCGCCCGTATGTGCCAGGGCTTGTTCTGTATCCGCTCGAGCCCCAGCCCGGCGACCAGTTTCACAGTGGTCAGCGAATCGGGCAGGTCCATCTTGTTCGCCAGGAAGAGAATGGGAATCTTGCGGCCTGAAACATTCGCGAATTACTTTCTGATCCGAGCTTGTCATTTTAATCTGGATCATTTTGACTCTCTCGTCTCAGCCCTGGGGCTCGACTCTCGAATATATTCGAAGGAGAAACGTATGCGAAAATTCTGCTCTTACAGAAAAGTTGCGAGGTGATTGGCCGTTCGCATGGCTTTGACCAATCGACTTTCAACTACTCTGTCAGAGTAGAACGTTCGTTTCTTCTTCAGGCCTGTGTCCATGATGCTAGAACTTGG